GCACAATACAAAAACCTGTCGACTATTTGAGTCCAAGTTCCAAAACCAAGTACTACTTCTGGTCTGGTAGAGTTCATTGACGTATAAATAGAGCCTATAGGATATAATGTTTGAAGTATTTCTGTCTTTAATGTTTGAAGCTCTGTTTTGTCTGCTTTCTTATCTAACATTGTTGGTAGTTCGTATGCTTCAAAGTTTCTGGCATGGTCTTCGATATTCCTGCAACTGTTATCTAAATTGTTAAGAGTATCTTTTACACTAGTGCTTGGATTCTCTGAAGGTGCACTTGAACCAAGGTCAAAGTTCAATATTATATCATCTGCTGTAAAAGTTGTAAAACTTGTATGTGTATGAGTCTTGTCAGCTTTAAGGTCTAAACATCCTGAAACCCATCCTGTATCGGCTTTAGATTTTAAAATCTTTGATGTCCGTTCATGGTACCAGTCAACCCTTTCTTTCATTTCGTTATCTTTTTCATCCACATATTCCTTATCTGCTTTCTTCTCTAACTTACTAGCCACACATGCTAACTCATCGTTAACATATGTTTTATCTGCTTTCTTTTCAAGGCTAACGTTTAAGTTTGTAATATCAGATATAGAATGTGTATGAGTCTTTTTAGAATATTCTTTGTCAGCTCTTGTCACTTCACTTGACATTTTATTGTCAACATATGTTTTGTCCGCTAGTTCAGGATGAGTATGTTCTTTCGTTGCATATGTTGCATCTGCTCTGTCATGTTCTTCTTGAACTTTTTCAATGACATATTCTTTGTCAGCTTTGTTGCCAACATCTGCTTTCAAAAGAAGTTCAGATATAGGTTTCTCGTTTAAAGTTCCTTTTGTTGGATTTATACAAACAGTATGGTTCTTATTGTCTTGAAATAGAAACTCGTCTGTCATTGGGTTTAACGTCAGTTTTAAGTTTCCTTCTTTCAATGACTCAGATATCTTAGAATAGTTTGAAAAGTTTGTTGTGTTCTTATTTAGAGCTTGTATAATGAGTTGTCGGTTGTGTTGTATTTCTCTCATAGACGCTGTTTCTTTCGACATTTTTATTCTAGATAAAATATGCTTTCAATAGAAAAAGAAAATTCTAGAGTTGCTACAACTAAACCATTAGATGAACTTTTTACTAATGTCGGTCAAAAGTTTGAGACAGAGACCGTAAAGCATGAAGGCTATCGTTTTGACTACCCGTTAAGATGGTTAAGAGACCCATCTGTCACAAAAGCTATTGGCTTTCGTAGAATGAAGTTCATTTCAGAAGCCATACATGGTTTCCCATTTACAGTCGGTTTTGAAGTTCGATACTATAACAAAGAAAAACGTACGTATGAGAAATTTGAACAGGGAAAACTTTTACAAGTGAATTTGCTTGTAAACTTAGAAACAACTCTTCAAGCTTTTCAAGAAAAAATAAACGACATCTATATCGAATATGCAAACCAGTATAACATTGACGAGGGAGAGTACCATCTCGATATTATTTATGACAGGAAAAATGCAACTGTTAAAATCAATAGAATAGAAGACCTTGGAGAAAACGTTTATATTTCTACAAAATATAACAACTTGGCATGGTATAGATTTATGAGGATGTTAAATCAGCCTGCAGAATATCCAGTACACCCGGACTTTTATGAAGTCGAAAACCCTAATGGAACATATGAAAATGTTTTCGACTCAGATGCTATTATCGTTCATGCTTCATTTTCTGGTGCACAAAACTCTTTCTTATGTTTGGCAAATGACTTTTACGAAAAACCTACAAAGTTATACGAACCACCAAGTGGAAGTATTTCAGACTTTCAAGTATGGTTTACAACAGATGGAAGAAAGAGAATAATTCCATTATATCATGCGTTTTACTTAGAACTTAGTTTCATATACAACTACTATCGAACGGTAAAAATATAATTTTTTAATACGGTTGAGGTGTTGGATTTGGTTGCCAACTAGACTGTGGTGCAGGTTCAGGCTGTTGTATAACAGGAGCTTGTTCTTCTGGTTCAGGGTCTTTAGGTATAATACCAACAAACTGACCTACCCTTTTACCAATATTTTTGACACCGTTCCAAATTCCTCTTCCTACGGTTTTTATTCCATTCCATATACCTCTTCCAACTCTTCTGAAGAAGTTTCCAATACTACTGAAGAAACCCATTTACTACGTGTAAAAATCTAATGTCCGCCTAGTCTCTTACGTTTCCTGTTGAGTTCCATAGCATTCTTTAACTGGAGCTCATACATTCTGTTTCTCCTCTGGTAAAAACATATTCTGGGTCAACTCCTGTGTTCGCGTCATCTGCATAAGTTGTTTATATCCCACTTCAGGGTTTGTATAAAACTCTTTCCATCTCATATTTGCATACCATGGTGGCAAACCTAACGCAGCGTCATTTGACATGGCAGTTTGCATTTGTACATCTGTTGGCACTTGACCATAGTTTGCCATTGCAGTTTGTATTCTAAACTTCATTTGGAATATTCTCTGGGTTTGGTTGTCCAGGTTGCTGTGCATTCGCTAAGTTCTGTGCGTCCATTTTAATATTAGATAAAAATATCTCTTACGAGTACATATGCTGAACATTTGCAGGCATTGGTTCATCTTCATATTCTCTGTACTTTTCTGCCACGTCAAATAAATAAATGACACAATGGAAAAAACCTAAAACAAGTAGTCCTATTTCAAACCACATTTACTTACTAGTAAAATTTCTTTGTTATGACACTTTCTCCGGTTTATAGGACCTCTCTCATATTCTATCTTGTCATATCTAAACTCATAGTCATGTATGTCCTCTAACCATCTCATAACGGTTTCCAAACCACTTTTATCGGATGTAAAGTAAAAGCATGGACAGTTATGTAAAACGTCTAAAGTTTCTAAAGAGTCTCTCAAAGTCCAGTCTACTTGGTATTGAAAATCCCATGTGTTATAGAACGGCGGGTCCACTATAAAGAAAATATTTTCCTTGTCTTTATATTTTTCATACAACTCTGTCCAATGACATCTCACAAACTCTATACCCTCAATATATTTTTCTATGTCCTCTTTGAAAACATTTGTATAGTTAAGATATAAAACATTTGACATAAGTGTTTCAATGTCATGAACTCTTATAGAACCACTATATAATAGTCTAGCAGATATACTATCCCAGTCTATATATTCTGCTTTTTTCAAAACCTCTCTCACAATATTTTTCTTATCTAATGGTATACGTTCCATCTTACCTATAGGTATCTTTTCTTTTAACTCTTTCAATATATTGTTTGTGTCTGGTATATGTTTGAGACGGTCCATATAGTTGTCGAAGTCATTGCATATAATCTTTGAGTCTGGGAATATTGTATGGCACAAATGGGATATATAGAAACTTCCACCGAACAAATCTACAAATGTTAGACCATTCGGTAGTTTCTTAAGTTCTCTCAATATAATATCTTTACATTTACCCTTATTTCCAAAGAACGGTAACGGTGGTTTTGTAAAATTCATTTATATATAATAATAAAAATGTTTTTTCCTGAAAAGTGACAGAAAAGTGACAAAACATGAAAACATATATAATTTGTGAAAAGCTCCTGGAAGACCCGTATATAAGAACTTCATTTATACTAAACATCTTCAGGGCTAGAAGGGGCGCAGCCCCTGGAAGCCCCACTACCTTTTTTTTTTTTCTTTTTTTTTTGGCTTGCTAAAGTAACTAATTTTAGCTGTCAAATACTTTTGTATTTTGAAGTAAATTAGTATAAATTTGTTTTTACTTTTATTTCGAAAAAGTAGCAATAATCGTAAAAGGGTATTGATAGGCTTGCTAAAGTAACTAATTTTAGCTGTCAAATACTTTTGTATTTTGAAGTAAATTAGTATAAATTTGTTTTTACTTTTATTTCGAAAAAGTAGCAATAATCGTAAAAGGGTATTGATAGGCTTGCTAAAGTAACTAATTTTAGCTGTCAAATACTTTTGTATTTTGAAGTAAATTAGTATAAATTTGTTTTTACTTTTATTTCGAAAAAGTAGCAATAATCGTAAAAGGGTATTGATAGGCTTGCTAAAGTAACTAATTTTAGCTGTCAAATACTTTTGTATTTTGAAGTAAATTAGTATAAATTTGTTTTTACTTTTATTTCGAAAAAGTAGCAATAATCGTAAAAGGGTATTGATAGGCTTGCTAAAGTAACTAATTTTAGCTGTCAAATACTTTTGTATTTTGAAGTAAATTAGTATAAATTTGTTTTTACTTTTATTTCGAAAAAGTAGCAATAATCGTAAAAGGGTATTGATAGGCTTGCTAAAGTAACTAATTTTAGCTGTCAAATACTTTTGTATTTTGAAGTAAATTAGTATAAATTTGTTTTTACTTTTATTTCGAAAAAGTAGCAATAATCGTAAAAGGGTATTGATAGGCTTGCTAAAGTAACTAATTTTAGCTGTCAAATACTTTTGTATTTTGAAGTAAATTAGTATAAATTTGTTTTTACTTTTATTTCGAAAAAGTAGCAATAATCGTAAAAGGGTATTGATAGGCTTGCTAAAGTAACTAATTTTAGCTGTCAAATACTTTTGTATTTTGAAGTAAATTAGTATAAATTTGATATTATTTTAACTCCCTTTGAAAACCTCAATTTTCCATACAGAGGGAACGGGAATAGCATCCAATATTCCCTGAGAATGGTTGCGCATTCTCAGTTCCCTCTATATTTCGAACGAAGCTCTCATCGGTCTTTTTTTTAATACTAAACGTTTTTTCCCCTGTCACTTTTAGCTAAAATTTGGGTTTGCCAAAATTGATTTTTGTCAAAAATAATTTTGCCATTTTTTGATGAATGATTCCTTTTTACAAGATAACCTAATGTGTTATGGTGTGTTTCAAAAATATATGATCATTTTGATGATCCTGCAATAAATAATTTTAAAATAATTTTGAAAATGAGTGTAAACCATAAATATTTATTAATTTCAAATAAACAAAGATAATCCAGTAAAAATTAATAATCAACGTCCATCACATTTCTTATTTGTTCGCAGAGAACTCCTAAATCAGCATCTCCATTCTCTTCTGCGAATTGCAACGCTTGTTCGATATCAGCGTTTAATATTTCATCCATGAATTCATTGAATTTCTCATGATCATGGGTAGAAAAGTAAGTTAATAACGAATAAGTTGCTCCAAGAATAGAATACATGAATCCAATGTCACTAGAAGTATATAGATTAAACAACATATTGAAAATAGTCGGATGGGCTTCTAATGTATGTTGAATTAAAGTTTCATTTTGAGTATTAATCAAAGAACAAAGAGCATTAACGATTTCCTTGTTGCTATAATATGCACTGTTCGAAATGATCTGTTCTATAAACTCGTCAATGGCTGGATTCGTGAAAATTTGTAAAATATCAGAATGATCAGAACAAGCGAGGTTTCTAAAGGTCAAAGCAACAAAGGATAATTGCTTTGAATTGAGATTGGATATTTGATAAGTAGAAATGAATTTAATGAACGGTTCGACAAATAAAATTGCAATTTCGTCAGAACGGGAAACTAAAAGCGCAAATAGTCGAAGAGATACTGTCAATGATTCACCTTCACATTTCATCACTCTTTCAATCATTTCGAGGAATTGCTCATTAATAATTTCGACAAAAAATTCATCTGGAGCTTGGTATTCCAAGATTTGGCCAAGACATGCGATAACAACCTTAATGAATTTGAACCAATTGATTTTATGTGTTTTTGTTTCTGGAACAGGTTTTTGAACGATTAATTTAATAAATTCGCCAAAAGCAGTCCAAAATTCAGTATTTTCGTTAATTTCAGTAAATTTTGATATTGTTGCAAGGAAATATACTATTGTAATAAGTGATTCTATTGTAGATTTATCAAGATTTGATTGAATTAATTCTGAGGCCAAATTGAAGACAGAAGTAATGTAATTTAATGATATAACTGTAGATATGACTTCTGGGTTGCTTTCAGTAAATGCAATAATGCTTTTGAGGATTTGGGAACGAAGTTTTGATTCTTGGAAAAATTCTGTGTATTTCTGTAAAATTTGATTAACAATTTCATTAGGAAGTGCTTTAGATTGAGTATATGATTCTAGAAATGAAATTATTGCTTGAATGATATCAACATCTGAAGTTTCTACGAAAATCGACAAAATTGCATTTAAAATAGATTCATCAACTCTATTTGGATTAGATTCGAAATAAACTATTGCATTTGAAACATCAGATTCATCAGATGAAGATAATAATGACACAAACAATTGAAAATCTTGGTCTGCAATCTTATTATCCTCTTCAGTAGCATCTATGTTCTTAGTTGTATCAACATGCATTGAATCATTATTGTCTCTATTCCTATTCTTCTGTGTATTCATTTTCCGAAGATTTTAGCTAAAATTTTTGTCTCAAGTAAAATCAAAAAAATAAAATGTAGTTTTTCTGATAAAAATATTTCTAATATCAATTATATTACTGAATCATTAACAAAATTTTGGAAAATAACAAAGAAATAAGAATCAAAATTTTCTTTTTTGGCTTGAATAGAAAAATTTATCGATATATCAAGTAAGCACAATTAGTATAATAGGAATTAGTATTTTGATTTTAGATATATCTACTCTTTACAACAAAACAAAACATAACAAAAGAAAGATGAAGGCCTACTATCAACCCCAAAAGAGAGAAAAAGATTATCTCACAAACGCTTTTTTGAATCAATTTTACCAAATCAAAATTCTAAATCATAAGATTTGCGTCTCTCATACAAAAAATATTGAGAAGATTGCAATTGGACGTAAATAATTCATTGAATAAAAATAATATATTAAGTATAACATTTATTTATTAATTACTAATTAGCTTCTTCAGGATCAACAAGACCTCCATCGAAGAAACCTTGATCGGACTTATCATCATTAAAGTCTTGAGCAAATGGGTCATCTGACAGATTGGCACCAAAAATCGGATTATCGGCTGTGAAAGCCATAGTTGCATCAATATTTCCTGTTTCAATCTTTTCAGCATTAAATTCTACATTTGTTGTAGAACTTTCTTCTTCATTTGATTTGACAATGAAGATGATAACCATTGTGCAAATTGTAATAACTTCAAAAACACAAATTACAATCAATGCAATCAATAAAGGTGACATTGATTTTTTAGTTGGATCCTCTTCAATAATAAATTCTTCTGTTTTTGTTTCTTGAGTAGATGATGTTGAGTTTGATGAATCTTGAGGATCAACTGCTTTTGTTGTTGTCGTTGTTGTTGTTGAACCTCCTGGCTGTGGAACAGGAACATCGGTATCCTCACAATTTTCAAACTGAATGAGATGTTGATCTTTGACAAAATCAAGGGAATCTGTTTTTATAGGTGTGAAATAATCATCTTTTGCATAATTTTCGAAAGGAACTGATGAATCGCATTTATCTTTAATTACTCTTGTGATACTATTTTCATAATAAGCACCATAATGTTTCCAAATGTATGTATCATAAGCAGATGAAACATAAATGTTTTGAACAGTCTCAAAAACAAATGTACCCACTTGGAATTTTGGACCATAACAAAGATTGTGAAGATATGGAGTATATGCTCCTCTATTTTCCATATCACCGTTTGTATTAACAGTGTTAGGAATAACTAAAGTAGTTACACCGTAATCTTCAACTTTTCCATCTGCGGAATATTTAGGAAGAGACTGAATAGAATTTGCTGCAATATGTGAAACATAATCAGGAACAACATAAGTTGAAGGAAGTTTTCCATAAGTTAGAATGAGTTCATTGTTAAATTTCCTTATCAATTCGTGATTTCCTAAAAGAAATACGGGATGTGTGCTAGATCTGAATCTAAATTGAACATTTTCCGAACCAAGAAATGAAGTTGTGCTAATACTATCGCATTCATCAGGAATAACAAATGAAGTTAAACTAGGAATAAAAGAAAAGGAGAAATCATTTATATATGAGAATTGAATATCTACAGAAGTCAATGAAGTGTGTTCAAACATATATTCTGGAATTCCAGGATATGGCGTTGTCGATGTTTCCAATTTAATTTCTTGTAGTTTCTCGGCATAAGAAAAAACTCCTTCTTCAAAATCAGGATTATAAAGTTCAAATTTTTCTAAACCTGTTCTTGAGAAACAGTATTTTTTAAATGAATGAGATTCAGAATGAGAAATAAATTCAACATTTTTAAGTGACACACAGTTATAGAATGAATATTCATCAAAAACGCCACTGTTCAATTTAATTGTTGTTAATTTGATGCAATTTTCAAATGAATGTTTTCCAAAATTTTTGACTGATTCTAAGTTGATAGTTGATAAGAGTTTGCAGTTATAAAATGCATAATCACCAATACTTGTAACTGTTGAAGGTAGTGAAACTGTTTCTAAATTAACGCAATTATAGAATGCATATGATGGAATACTATTAATTCCACTGATTGTTACTTCTTTAAGTGATTTAAAGTTGCTGAAACCTGATGAAAACGAAATTTCGCGATCAATAGTAATTTTTGTAATTGTGCTATGAATGAATGCATTTTTCCCGATTTCTGTGATAGTAGAAGGAATAGAATTCACTCCTGAACCAATGTAAACTAATGTTGTATCTTTCGTTATAATGTTGTTTTCGTTCTTAAATGCTGTAGTTTGTAAATCAAATGTGATTGGTGGACAATCTTCAAAACCAAGTAATTCAAATTTAGTGATGCTGCTTCCAAGTGTGATTTGATTAAGTTGTGAACAGCCTTTAAATGATGTTAGATCAATTGAAGACAGATTGGTACTAATTGTTAAATGTTGAATTTTACTGTTGAAGAATGATTTGTATTGAATAGTTGTAACAGATTTAAGATCTAAATTAGTTAGTTTTGTATTTTGGAAAGAGAAGTTAGCAATTGTTTTAACACCACCTAAATCAATTGTTTCTAATAATGTGCATCCTGAAAACATAAATCCTGAAATAATTGTGCTATCTGATGTAAATGTGACTTCTGTCAATCCAACACAATCCTCAAATTCATGCAAATTCACTTATTGATAGCATTGTAATTCCTGCCTCAAAATTAAGTGTCGATAGTTGTGTGCAATATGCAAATGCGTTGCTTTCAATAGCTATACAAGTTTGTAATACTGTAATTTCAGTAAGGCTTAAGCAGTTGCTGCATAAAAACTGTGGACAATTTTTCAATCTAATTGAAGTAATTCCTGATCCGGAAAATGCATATTCACCAAATTCAGGATCTTGATCGAAAGAGATTGACGTTAACTTATGACAGCCTTCAAAGGCGTTGTTTCCAATGGAAGTAATAGCTGCAAGATTTATGTCTGATATTGATGAAAAAGCGAATGCGTAATCTTTGATAGATTTTATATTTGATGGAAGGGTGACCTTTTGAATAAAACTGCTTCCAAAGAACATTTTTTCTGGTATCTCGGTCGAAGAGCTTGATTGGATCTCCAATTCTGTAATACAGTTAAACCCATTGAATGTTTTTACTGATGCTGATGAGCTAATGATGAACTTTTGTACATTTTTCTCAATAATTTTATTAAATGTGTCTATTTTATAATCAGCGTCGCTTGTGATAGTCATCACATTGTCGCCACTAAGATCATATGAGCTCAAATGTAAAGGCTTGACTAAAATTTGATGGAATGCAATCGTTGTTAACATGATCTTTACTGAAAAAAAAACCAAAAAATAGCCAGTAAAACTTAATGGTATATTATTATAATTGATGTTTAATGGATTGAATCATTTCAATTGGAAAAATTCAATAGCTTAAATTTTGAATAAATCACACTTTAACTTTAACACTATGTACAGTGAATATTTTTTAATTTTTTTTCTGATTTTTTTTTCATTCTTATGTAAGGAAAATTTTTGCCTTTTAAAAAATGAAGAAATTGTCTCAAACTATCAATGCATTACGATGAAATTAGGACATTTTTTTTCAACTGCAATTGAATTTTTAATATCGCTTTGTAAACTATTTAAAAATCGAGTTTTGATTTTGATTTTTGAATTTATTCAATTTTTCAAGAAATGGAACGATAGATGAATCATGAAAGATTTAATATCGACAATAAATATTTACAATCTTTTTTTTTTAAAATTATTAAAAATGCTCAATCATCTTACCTTTCAAGGATTATTATGCTCTCAAATCAAACTTAAATGTGAGCCAGCATATGAAGATAATGGTCAAACCCTCGTAATTTCTTCAAGTTCCGATCTAACTGATGAAATTTTACTGAGTATTGTAACAACCAAGAACATTCAAAAACTCGCAATCAGGATTTCGGATTTTACTGATCTAACCAGTCTTTCTGCTTTTAATCACATTCAAAATTTTGATTTTTCACAAACTTCGATAACTCAAATTCCTCCTAATTGTTTTAAAGGCTTAAAAAACATCAAGAATATAGTTCTTACAAGCAGTGCAACAAGTATTAGAGCTTATGCCTTCGCAAGTTCTTCAATCGAATCTGTCACTGCTTCTCAAATTGTTTCTATTGATGATCATGCATTTTACCAATGTTCAAATCTTGCAACAATTGATTTGTCACATGCTCAACATATAAAAGACTTTGCATTTACAGAATCAGGTTTAACATCAGCTACACTTGATTCACTACAAGAATTAACATATGCATTCTACAAATGTGAGAAATTAACAACTGTTACTCTTCCTGAAACAATAGAAGTGAATTCTCAACTAGATTCAACATCAATCAAAACGATCACATTATTTAACATTGGATATAAATTCTACATAGATTCTCTTGTAGAATTAACATTGACTGGTACTGAAATCTACTTTGGATATTCATTACCAAAACTAGAAAAAGTTAAGCTTACAAATCCAGATTTATTTAGTGTATCAATAACAGAGCAAATGGTATTGCACACCATAGAATTACCTGAATCAAATATATTGTCTGCTTGTTTCACATTGAACCCTAAATTAAAGACAGTTACAAATGGTCAATCGATTCGTTCTCTTGCAACTGATGCTTTCGCTAGTTGCACATCTCTTGAAACAATTGATTTATCTAATGTTGATCAATTCGAAACAGATATATTCTTAAATTGTTACAGTCTTAAAACAATTCATGGTTTCAATGATGTCGAGTCATCTCAAATAGTATTGAAAGGTGCACCATTTAAATTTTGTTGGAATTTAAAGATTACTGAAATTTCTGAAGGAAAATTTAATTTTTTTTATGATCAGTATATTATGAATAACCCAATTAGTAATGCATTCGCATACACTGGTATTGAAGATTTAACAATCAAATATTATCCAGAAACTGGTCTTTATTTCTATGGATGCAAAAATTTGAAAAGAGTTGATATGTCTCAATTAACTGGAAAAACATATCTTCCAAAGTATATGTTTAGAGATTGTATAAACCTTGATACTGTTATATTCCCAGATGAAGTTACAAGTATTCATTATTTCGCTTTCGAAAACACAAAACTAACAACATTAAATCTTAAAAATATCAAGTTTATTGGAGTTTTCGGATTTTCGAATTGTAATGTCCAAGAATTGACAATGAATTACAATTTCAAAATAGCGGACTCTGGTGGTTTTATTGATGAATGTGTTGAAAGGCCCGATAAAATGGAAAATTATGATTATTTGGAATATGAAAAAATGATAAATTATGAGAGAATAAATGATGGTAATGATTATCCAAATGAGCATATGCGCCACTATGTAACTCCTTTCTGGAATTGCAAGATGTTGAGAAAGATAACATTGGGAAGCGAAGTTACATCATTTTCACTTAAATATTTCCCTAATTCAACAATCACGGAAATAGTGTTAGACAATAATAATAATTTTGTAGTTGAAAATGGCATTTTATATGATACAACAAAAACAATTATTTATGCATATTTCAATACACAATCAACAGAATTTACTGTTCCTGATACTGTTGAAACAATTTCTCCGTTTGCTTTAGCTTACAGTCCATATGAAACTATTACTGTACCAAAGCATATCAACATTATCAATGGTCTTTTTGCTTTCTGTCATAAGCTGAAAGAAGTAACAATTCAAGCTAAAATTAACAGATTAGGAGATTATACTTTCTCTCATTGTTACAATCTTGAAACAATTAATTTTGCAGAAGGATCATCATTGATTTCAATTGGTCATGAATGCTTCATTTGCTGTTACAAATTATCTAGTTTACCATCAATGGAAAATGCCATATCTCTTGGAAATTATTCATTTGCATACTGTACTTCATTAACATCTATCAATATACCTAAAGTTAGTCTCATTCCGTCATTTTGTTTCTGGCATTCCAACATTGCACAATTTACTTTCGCCCCAACACTGTCAATTGTCAAAGATAATGCTTTTAATTCAACTAAAATCCAAAGTTTTAGTTGTCCAGAAACATTAGTTTATATTGGAGTTGGAGCATTTGCAAACTGTATAAAACTTACATCATTCACGTACAATGAAAACAATAAAATAACAGCAATTCTTCAAGGAGTGTGGTAGAATTTACGAAAAAGTGACACTAGAAAAAGTGACACTTAACCTTAAATTTCCAAACACTATTTTTTGATTGTATTTTGTTATTTATATATTTATATAAATATGTATATTTATATATGTATATATTTATATATGTATATATTTATATATGTATATATTTATATATGTATATATTTATATATGTATATATTTATATATTTATATATTTATATATTTATATATTTATATATTTATATATTTATATATTTATATATTTATATATTTATATATTATATATTTATATATATATATTATATATTTATATATTTATATATTTATATATTATATATTTATATATTTATATATTTATATTTTATATATTTATATATTTATATATTTATATATTTATATATTTATATATTTATATATTTATATATTTATATATTTATATATTTATATATTTATATATTTATATATTTATATATTTATATATTTATATATTTATATATTTATATATTTATATATTTATATATTTATATATTTATATATGTATATATTTATATATGTATATATTTATATATGTATATATTTATATATGTATATATTTATATATGTATATATTTATATATGTATATATTTATATATGTATATATTTATATATGTATATATTTATATATGTATATATTTATTAGAAACTGCTTCATGCTGTGTTGAGTATTGTTGAATTGGAAACTGCTTCATGCTGTGTTGAGTAAGCTTCGATGTCTTTGTAGGATAGCTTTCTGAGAGCGAAACAAGATAGTGTTGAAAAAAAATTTTGAAAATCTGAGAGACTGTGCAAGAGCCAACGACCAAAACACTACCAGTAAGATACAGCAGTAGTAGCTGCTTCATGCTGCATTGAGTATTGTTGAATAATTTGAAGTAGTGGTTTTTGAAATCAGCACCCCTATGAGAGCGCTGGCGACCGAAACACCACTAGTAAGATTGTGTATTAGAAACTGCTTCATGCTGTGTTGAGTAAGCTTCGATATCTTTATCAGACCACCTTTAAATTAACCACTCACATTCTCACTGTGGTCCATCTAAAATTTGTAAGCTTTATGACATAAAATTATATTATATGCAGGATCCCACCTATTACTTAATCTTTTTGGAATAAATGTTTTATAATATTTATCGATTGATTGTAATTTTTTGTATAAAAAAAGTTTTTTATTTATATTAAAAATATATTCGGTTAATGATATTATCTTATAATTTGTAAATAAATCTAGTAATAAAATAACTTTAATAGTTGGTGTCACTTTTTCGAAAATTCTGGTTTTTTCGTTGGAGCATTTGCAAACTGTATAAAACTTACATCATTCACGTACAATGAAAACAATAAAATAACAGCAATTCTTCAAGGAACATTCTCAAATACATCATTAACTAGATTCAAAATTCCAAATACAATAGTTTATTTACATCCAACATCATTCAAAGGATCTTATAAGATCGATTTTGAATTTGAAGAAGGTGGTCATCCTCTATTTACCGTTGATAATCATTGTTTCATTGAAAAGAGCACAGGATTACTCATATTTACATTTGGAAAGTTATATGGCACATACAAATTATCAGATAAAATTACTCGTATCAGCAAAAACGTAATTATTCCAGAGAGAGTAGTAAAGGATACCAGATATATAATTAAACAAGGAATAACTACTTTAATTGTTCCTCATACTGTTAAAGACTCTTATGATTACAAAATTATGACATTGGAAGGAGAAGAATTTCCACAGTCTGTATTTTTTGAAAATCTTTGTTTTGAAGGTGAGACATTTTCTGGTTGGGAACCTAGTTCTGGCTCTCCATCAATAGAATATTATTATCAAATTTATGTTACAGAGAATTTCATTAAGGAACCTCATAATGAAGTTTATAATTATCCATACGGTTGTGCCACAGAAAAGATATCATTAATGAGACCAAATGTTTTTGAAGCAGCAAATGGAAATTATCCAAAGACATTTAAATTGAGTAGCGATATCTATCAAAATAAAAATGCAGATGTCATCGCAACTGGTTATATCTATGAATTTTTGAATGTTCCAAACGCTCAAAGGATCTTAAAAGCAATATTTAGATTTTTGAACCTGAATAACGGATTAGAAATTACTTTATTTGCATTAGTAATGATATTGTCAGCAATAATCGCAATTCTAACAGCGTTATTAACTAGATTATAAAGCTTTGTTTTTTAGTAATTTATAATGAAAGTTGAGAATCTTTTTTTTTGATAATGAAAAGTGACGAATGACAAATTAATTATGACATTCAAAAATTCGGACTAAATGATATTTAACCAATATTATTAATATTTGTTTTTGCCGAGCTTTTGAAATATCTCTATTTTATTGGATTTCAATTTGAGAAAAATTCTTCTTGAATTAACTAACTAACCTGTGTCATAATTTTGATGGCTACGGATATCCTGGTAGTCGTGTTTTCAAAAACTTAGTTTTCGACCAAGGTCCAACTCGCCCTAACCGTTACAAAGAATGGCTACAAGAAAAAGGCTATGAAGCTCCAACTGTTTCTGAAGCTTATTTTGGCGACAATGACCATCTTAGAGTTCAAGAATTATCGGGAAAGCTCTCTGGTACAAAACAAGAATCAATTCCGTACTTCATTATTGATGAAGCAAAGCGTTTTATTCAAGAATCAATTTCTGAAGGAAAACCATTCTTTACATGGATTAATTTCTGGGGACCTCATACTCCATGCGTTGTTCCTGAGCCATATTACTCAATGTATGATCCAAAAGATGTTGTTTTCGACGAATCTTTTTATCATCCACTTGATGGCAAACCAGGACACTACAAAACAATATCTCAGATGTGGGGCTTATGGAACGCCAGCCAAGAAAACGGGTCCAGGATTGTTACTTCTTATTGGGGTTATATCACTTTAATTGATGAAGCAATCGGCGAGTTATTTGATTACCTAAAGGAAAAGAATCTCTATGACAATGTCACTATTGTTTTTACAGCAGATCATGGAGATGCAATGGGAGCTCATCGAATGATCGAAAAAGGCGAGTTTATGTTTGAAAATACATATAACATTCCAATGATTATCAAGGATCCAGAGTCGAATCGTAAAGGAGTAGAAGATGACAGCTTAGTTTACCTTCACGATTTAACTTCGACAGTTTATGACTTCGCTGGTCAGCCAATTCCAGAACACTTCGAAGGAACATCGCTACTTCCTATTGTTAGGTATGGAATTCCTGGAAATAGAACTGGAGTTCTCGGTCAAATGACAGGACACTTCGTTTACTTCGAACAGAGAATGTGGAGGAAGAAAGACTTCAAACTGGTATTCAATGCAAGTGATATTGGAGAGCTTTATGATATCAAAAATGATCCACACGAAATGGTGAATTTATTCGATAATCCCAATTATAAAGATATTAAGAATCAGATGCTTAAGGGTGCACACGAGAGGATCATGTAAACTTCAGAATTTAGAACCTTATTTTAGGCATTATCTTGGCTACCTATTTAGGCTCGAAAAGCAAAAAATATCAAAAAATACAACTTGAGTCCATTATGACCCTTTCATGGAGGTAGTTTTTATCCGCTAGTATTTTCCCTTTGAATCTCTTTACAATTCGAAATCAAATTCAAACCTCAGTAGAAGAAAGGAAGAATCGACTTACTACGGTTGTAATACGAATAAATACATATATTTAATTATTTTTATTTACATAATAATTGTTTGAAGCTCATATTCCATCAAATTTTTAAATAAAAACATTAAAATGTTGAAAATGTTCATATATTTTAATAGGGTTTTGGCACTTTATTGAGGAATTACTACATACATAGTCGAACCGAACTTGATATTTTGAAATTTAAATTATTTATCAAAATTAAAATTTAACTTGAAATTTATAATTATTTAGTCATATTTTGCATAATTCTAAGTAGATTTTGTAAAAAATCAAGAAAGAAAAATTTTAACGTGATTTATTTTTTCTTTTTTATAATAATACATATTATTATATAATTAACATATTCATAATGTTTCACCCTTTCAAAAATATAATCCTCCTCCTCTCAAATAAACGTACATACGGGTGGCCTCTTTTTTCAAAAAATTAAAATTTCTAATTTTAAATTTGAAATTTTGGGCTCAAATATTAGAGATTTTTTCAACCTTCAACGATATATGTTGTCTATATCAGACCTCCTTTCTTTTTGATACTTAACATTGTTCCTAAATCTTAGCCGTCAAGGCTCTTCTGAAAATATTTTTTTTTTCGAAAAAATTCGAAAAAAATTCTTAAAATTCAAAAATCCCTTAATTCCTGAGGATTTTGGAAAAAAGTTTTTACATGAACATGTGTATATTATATGAAGTATATTGATAAGGTAAAAATCAAATTTTATTGCATATTCATCGAGAAAATAAACTAACGAATCCCTCAAAATTGAGAGGGTAATCCTTCTCCTCTCAAATAAACGTACATACGGGTGCACCCTTAATGAGATGTATGAAGAAATGATGAGAGTAAATGATCCTCTTGCAAACTGGGTCTTTAGAATCATCGACGAATTATAAATTTTCTTTAAAAAACTTTAATTTGTTCTACGCTTTTGCATAAATTAGTTTACTTTTTTTAATTTACTAATGGCTAAAAACAAAGAATAAAACAAATAATTTAAAGATATGCTCTTTAAAAATCAATATAGAGTTAGCGAAATAAGTTGTAAACAACGAAAAAAGTTGTTAACAGCAATTGTATCTTATATAAGAACATTATTTGCAACATGTGAAATGAGAACTTCGGCAGTTTCTTTACTATTACGCTGTGCTGCAATATGAAGTGCTGTTTCTCCATCTTCATTTTTTTTCATTGATATTTGCACCATGTGAAATAAGAAGTTCGGCAGTTTCTTTACTATTACGCCGTGCTGCAATATGAAGTGCTGTTTCTCCATCTTCATTTTTTTCATTGATATTTGCACCATGTGAAATAAGAAGTTCGGCAGTTTCTTTACTATTATTAAATACTGCAATATGAAGAGTGGTTTTTCCATTTTTATTTTTTTTTCATTGATATTTGCACCATGTGAAATAAGAAGTTCGGCAGTTTCTTTACTATTATTAAATACTGCAATATGAAGAGTGGTTTTTCCATTTTTATTTTTTTCATTGATATTTGCACCATGTGAAATAAGAAGTTCGGCTATTTCTTTAAAATTATAACGTGCTACAAAATGAAGGGCGGTTTTTCCATTTTTATTTTTTTCATTGATATTTATGCCATGTGAAATAAGAAGTTCGGCAGTTTCTTTACTATTATTAAATACTGCATTATGAAGGGCGGTTTTTCCATTTTTATTTTTTTCATTGATATTTGCACCATGTGAAATAAGAAGTTCGGCAGTTTCTTTACTATTGTACATTGCTGCATTATGAAGTGCGGTATTTCCATAATCATTTTTTCATTGATATTTGCACCATGTGAAATGAGAAGTTCGGCAATTTCTTTACTATTACGTCGTGCTGCAATATGAAGTGCTGTTTCTCCAGTTTTGGTTTTGTCATTGATATTTGCACCATGTGAAATAAGAAGTTCGGCAGTTTCTTTACTATTATTAAATACTGCAATATGAAGAGTGGTTTTTCCATTTTTATTTTTTTCATTGATATTTATGCCATGTGAAATAAGAAGTTCGGCAGTTTCTTTACTATTATTAAATACTGCATTATGAAGGGCGGTTTTTCCATTTTTATTTTTTTCATTGATATTTGCACCATGTGAAATAAGAAGTTCGGCAGTTTCTTTACTATTATTAAATACTGCATTATGAAGTGCGGTATTTCCATAATCATTTTTTTCATTGATATTTGCACCATGTGAAAGGAAGTATTCGAAAAGGGATGGAATGTCAAAAATCGTTGAATAAACAAAGCATTTGTTTATATCATTAGTTTGATCGAAATGAACTAGAAAGGATTCAACATTATTGTAAATTCCACAGTATTCTAAATCGATCTCGATATTGTATTCATTCATCAAGAATGTAACAAAATCAATGTTATGTGAAATAATTGCATACTTCATGCAATTTTATTTTGGTTTTTGATATTTCAAACATTCACTCATGATATCTGGATTTCCTCCTAAAAATGAAAATTGTAAACATGTTTGAGTTATTTCGGATTTAAATTTCGATCTTAATAACTTGAAACAATCAACAGCTCCATGATAACAGCATAATTCAAGTAATGAATATCCATAATAAGAATATGGATATAAATCGCATTTAAGTATTTGATCTTTATCAAAATATTCTCTTTCTGTGAATGTGATGAATCTTTCTAAGTCATTATTCATAATTGCTCTGTATATTGTATTCTCTGTATGAATATCGAGAAAATCTGATTTAATTTTTTCGAAGTCATCAGATTTGTCTAATTTAATTCCATATTCTTTATAAAATAGGAAGTTTGAAATAAGTATGACGTTGTTGACCTCTTTGACATGATATTCATCTGATATGAGTTTAGCAAGATATAAATATGACTTTGCATAGTGATTATTATACACAATAAGATTTAAAATGGCGCGTATCATATCTTGGGGAGGATATTTATTTGAATCAATCAATTCTGTTTTGATCATTTTGTAAATCTTGTTTAATTCTTCTTCTTTTCCCGTTTTCAACTGATATAACTTATTGCATATATCGATATAGTATTTGTAGTTACTTCGCAATTCGCTGTATTTGTTTGGATGAGCATCTTGGTCGGACATTAATAATTTTTATAAAGGACACATTTGCATTTTACCATATAAATACCACTTAAATTTATTAGAAGAAAAAGTCCTATGTTATACATATGGAAAACAGTGACTGCAAAGATTTCTGATATAAATTATGAATTTTTATTAAATTTATTAATGAGAAACGACATGATAACAATATGAAAGTCTAGAACAATAGGATTGTCATCCGGATGTTTATATTATTCAAGATTTTTATTCCAATCACTCTAAATCAATTGATTCTTTGAAATTAGATAATATGTCATTAATAGAAATATTACTTTTTATAAACATAAACAAGACTGTCATTTTGAATTTCATATTTGTAAAGGTTCAATAGCGGTTCGCCTTATTTTTTGATTTGTTTAAAAATCAATGAAAAAAAATTAAAAATCTAACCATATATGTTGTCCATTCATGCATGAAAACTTCAAAACTTGTAGTTAGCATAAGAATAAAAGATTGAATTTCTAATTTGAATGAGAATAGTGCTACTAATTTCACTTAGATTGAATTTTATATTAGATTTATTTTATATTCTGTTAGTTAAGTTTAATAACATTAATTTAGACTAATAATGGAATTCCTAAACATATCATGTAAACTATTGAAATTCACCCTAGAATGGAGATTGAGATTGGTGACCAAATCAGTGCTCTAAATGAGGAAGAAGGCAAATATATGGAGGGAAGAGTTTACAAAATTAAGCAGAATGAAGCTGGCGAAACCGAATATTTCATATCCTTTTTAAATATCAATAAACGTTTCGATAACTGGCTTACCAAAGACCAACTTGACCTTAGAACACTCATTAAAAAGTCGGAACTCAAAGCGAAAAAGTCTCATGGTCCAAATGATATCACCGCCGAACAAGAAGAATCTTTAAAGTTCTTGGGCCTTTCGAGAAACATAGAATTCCTAAGATTTGGTGACTACTTGATGAAAGCATGGTATTTTTCACCTTTTCCAGAACCATACTTTAACTTGGAAACAATTTATTGCTGCGAATTTTGTATGCACTTCTTCGCAACTGAAGATGAGTACAATGATCATTGTATGAAGTGCACATGCACTCATCCTCCCGGTGATGAGATCTACAGAAAAGGCCATATGTCTGCATATGAAGTGGATGGTGCATTTGCCACAAGATGGTGTACAAATCTTTGCCTTATCACAAAATTATTCTTATTCCACAAAACGGAATACTACAATCCAACACTTTTCCACTTTTACGTAGTTTGTTTCCATGATTCTCATGGTGCTCATCCCTGCGGCTTCTTTAGCAAAGAAAAAGACTTCAACTGTCCGAACAATCTCGCCTGTATCCTTGCTTTCCCGTGCTATCAAGGAACAGGCGTTGGAAGATTTTTAATTCAATTATCTTACGAACTATCCAAGATTGAACATAAGCCAGGTGGTCCAGAAACACCATTGTCCGATCTTGGAATGCTTGCTTACGAAAGTTATTGGAAATCTTCAATCATGAAAGTTATTATCGAAAATGAAGGAAGGAAACTCTCAATTACCGATATGGTCGAGCTTACAGGAATGACTGAAAGTGATATCAAGCACGGAATTGCAAGCGGTGGTCTCCTGGCGCGAAATGAAAGAGGAGAATACTGTTTTGCAGCTACAAAGAAGCAAGTAGCAGAATATAAAGCAAAGGAGAACAAGAGAAAACTCCATTTGGATCCAAGACGTATTAGATGGACTCCTTATCCCAGAGCTAAGAAGGAAGGATTATAATTTTTTATGTTTTTGTGTTTTTATTTATAGAAAGATTCATTATTTGTTTTTAGTTCAATAAATATAGAATTTAATATCAAAATTTATGCAAAATTAAGAATTTATTTGCGGAATTTTTCCAATTTTAATTTATGTTCATGCGAAGTTGAACAATAAAAAGATGTCCTTTAATTGATATAAAAGCAAAAGAAAGCAAAGTACTATTTTTAACAGTTTAAAACGCGCGGTTGTGTTATTGTATGCTTTACTATAGCCAAGGAACTAAATTCATTAGGTGAGGAAAGACCCTCATAGAAACTCGCTCGGGGTAGGCGAAAAAACTTTAGTCACCTTTCTATTTTATTGAAACTGCGTATCTATATATTTTGTTGCTAATCTATTTCTATGATTCCTTATGATATGATAGTATTCAATCATCAATAGCCATAGGCTCGGTTATAAAATTTCTTCCCAATAATTAGAGTAAGCAAATGAATTCGTAAGAGAAAAATAGAAGCATATCAGATGTTGTTTTCATTTTTTAGATAAAATAGTCCGTACATTCATTCAATCCAGGCCAATTATAAAAATTTTCCTCATTCAGAGAAAATGGAAATTGATCCAAATTATCAGTATCTCTATACATATGATGTTGAAGATCATGAGGAAGAAATCGATATTAAATTCACTATCCCTAATAAGTTCAATCCAAAAGGAATGAAGATAGAACTTTCAGAAAATAAAGATGAAATTTGCATTTCTATACCAGAAGCTATCCCATGCGTTTGCGGTAAATTATTTGCACAAATCCAAGGATATACAACATCTTTTTCTGCCAAATCTTATACGATATCTCTCGAAAAAGTAGAACACGTTAAATGGGATCTTCTTATCACAGATCCTCGATCCAACACAAACGATATTGACCCTCAATCTGCATTCAATCTCTTTGCAATCAATCATGACAAGGGAACTCCAGAAGCAAAATCTTACGCTCAAAAAATGATTAATATCGCGATGGAAGCCCAATTCCTTCCGGCCATTTTATTAGGCATTCAAGCTAATGTGCAAGAAGGTGGCGATCAAAACGCTCTATTTTCTCTTCTTTTAATCGCTGCAACCAAATATCATCATCCTTACTCTTGCTTCCTTTTAGGCAAGCTCCTAATCGAATCAGGTAATGACAAAAAGGCTGGATTCCAATTACTTATGGAAGCAGCCCAAAACGGTTTCGGCCTTGCTCTTACACCTTTAGGACAACTACTTTCACCTCTTTCCAACGTTGACTTTGAAGTCAAGAATGCCAAACAAGCTTTGGAATGGTTCGAGGCGGTCATATCTGTAGCAGAAGAGCCAGTTGCTTTGTACGAAGCCGCCAAATTATACGATGCTGGCCTTGGCTGCGAAGCTGATCATGAAAAGGCTTTATCGTACCATGCAAGAGCCAAAAAGGTCGAGCCATCAATACCAGATCTTCCTTCACCAAAATCTGGTTCTTCAATTCTTAAAACTGTTGGTATCAGCTTAACTATCGGCGTTGGATTCGGCGCCCTTGCATCTGGCATTTACAGAATTATTAAGAATCGCAAAAATTAGTTTTATTTGATAGAGTTATTTTTTAAAAAAGAAAATATTGTTTTAAAACTATGTCTTATTTCTTAAATATTCATATACATTTGATCTATAAAATAAATGTTCGGAATAAGTTTGAATTACTTTAGAATATCAAATTTCATTTTGTTACTCGTATATTGTTGACAAATGCATAACCTCAGCTACATATAAACAAATAAGTTATGGTACTCTTTCATCTCATATAGCAATTTTTTTGACTTTTTTCCAAAAAAATTAAATAATTTATTGGCAATTGTCAGCTGAATTTTTAAGTTTTTTATGTATTTTGTCATGTATTGATTCACGAGTATACTAAAATTGATTTTATTCAAGATTGGTTTTGTAAAAAAAAAATATTGTTCTTTAAAGATGAGTCTGCTTCAGGCTAAGAGCATCCATAAGACAGTCAAAAACTCACAATATGTGGAGTGCGCATTAGCCGGAAATTGGATGCCGCCAGTGCATACTTCAGTTGAAGTTTCTATTGAAGAAATTCTTTTTAACATGCGGTCATATTTCCTTATACAGCAGTGTGTGCACATGAAATATTCAGTTGATCCAACTCATTGTTTCTCCCAGCAAATGTTTACAAAAATTCACACAATTTGCAAAGGTCCCAATATATTTGAGTTCGATTCATTCTTTGCTGCTTTATCAAATCAAATTATATTATACACATATTCAAATGAAGAAAAGCTAATTGTCAAAAAGCTTTCTATTCACTTAGATCCTTTATTAATAGAGCCAAGCAAAATATACTACGAAAATTCACTTTTAATAGTATCATGCGACCATGGTGGATTAGGCCTTTATTTTATTGATGAACAATTAATCAGATCTCCAATTGAAGGAAAACTACCATATAAGCTTCAAAATGTGCAGAAATCACGAGGCCTCGCTCCGATAACAATCAGACAAACTGATGGCCGTATTGGTCGCTTTGAAGCCGGATTTTACAACGTTTATGACCCTTATCAAGGGCTTATTACTGTAAATCAGACGAATTTGAATATCGAAGGAACCAAGATAGCCATGGCTGTTCCGTATGATGGCGGTATCATCTTCTTTTTACAAGTTAAAATGCATTGGTATCTCAAAAACAACGAATTCTCGCCAATATCAAGTCTAGACCAAGCAGATGGTATAATATGCGATTGGTGCCAGTTAAACAATTATACAATTGCATTTTTAACAGATAAATCCAAACTTTATATTCTCGAACCAAATAATCAATTTCGCGAAATGCCATTTGTCAACAACCAGAAAATGACACCCATCATAAATTTTACGAAAATCATTAATTACAAAATGAATGTGATTCTTGCAGTGAATGATTCAGGCGAATCCTACATTTGTGCGCTGAAAAATGAAGGCTTTCAACTATTCCCTACAAGATTCTACATCGGAAGGAAAAATCTTGTCATTAGCCGTACAAAAAATAAAATATTACAAATGATTTCAAACCACAACAAATGTGTCACTATTTCCAGACCAGGACCACGTGTATACTCACGAGGTATCCCTCATCCTACGTTTACTTCTCCAATTACGAAAATGTATTCTCAATCCATCAACAAAACAGACACGATGATTGTTTTCTCAACCAGCAACCAGACCCACATCATGAGGATCCAATACGCCAGCAATGCGCAGCCTGCAACCAAAGAAATAAGCTTACACTACCAAAACGGAGCTCCCTACATGGGATTGAATGGCCCGTGTCTCGGCTTTGGTTCACTTTTCATTGACGATAAATTACAGTTCCTTTTGGCCATGCCGGACAAAGTTGTCAGATTTAATGAGAATAGCGAATGTTACGAGAACAAAGTTATGTGCAGCATGCTAGTTACAGACCCTTATTACAGGAAATACATGATTAACGTCGCTCCTGAGCAAAGCTCTTTATTATATTATTGGAAAGATTTTTCGAATCCGAGCAAACTTGATTATCAAACAAAAATCGTATCAGTATCCTTCTCCTCCCATTTCAACCGCGGATCTCAATTCGGAGACCTCTCTCCCCGCTTCTTCCTCGTTGTCTGCGAACAGAAACTTTATCTCTACAGAACAATGATCGATGACGTATTCGACAGCACTTGCTGCAAAGAGTCTGAGATAAAGAACTTGAAGCCGACATGCGGAATATGGATTGACGAACAGACATTCGCTATTGGATACGAACACGGTGTTGTTCAAATCTACAGAGCGTTAATTTTGGATGGAAAACCTGCTACATCATTAGTTACAAACATTTCTGTTGGCGATAGCTCTGTATTGTTGTATCAGTACGCAGATGCTTATCCGACCATCTTATCCTTCTCTTCAAAGATGTGTTTGATCTCTGTCAAAAACAACGGAATTCTCATGATCAGACCGATTTCTGCCACGAAAATTCCTCACTTTTTGACACCTCTTACTAGATATGCCATTTTCTCTCCTGACAGCAACGAGGTTGACCTGATGATGGTTGATTTCAATGACTGCGTGATCACTGTTTCTCCTGTAAGAGATGATTCGACAACAATCATCAATACAGAGCCAATTCCTTCAATGAATGACGAAACAAATTCAATGGATTTGGCTGTGACAACACAGAGCGGAATCTACATTTACACGAATTACGACATCCCTCACGCTGATGCAATCAACAGATTGACAGTTAGTAAGGATGAAACAATACTTTCATCCAAACTGGATAAACACATGATCGCGTGGTTGTCAATGAACATCAGCAAAGAAATAATTGTTCATGTAGCAAATCTGTCACAGCAAAAAGAAGGTTTCGAATATGTTAAATGCAAATACAACAGGAATTTGTCATTGATAACATTAAGGGAAAGTAAAACAGTTGATACTTATATTCCAGGAATTGTTTGTGCAGGAGGAACAATAGTTGTTTTATTCCAGTTTAATACAAACAAAACAGCTTTAGCTCCTGTTTCTCGCCTTGAAAACGTCGGAACAAAAATAACAGCAATCGCATTCCACACTGACAAACTAATTGTTGGTGATCAAAACATGGGAATAAAGCTGTTCAAATACGACGACACGAGTAGATGTTTTACTCCTATCTCTTCAATGGGACAAAACATGAGACAGTGCATCACAGCAATCAGTGTCTGTCCATCAGAAGATATTATAACTGTTGGTGACAGATCAGGAAATTTCATGTTCTTCAGTGATGCATTGAACAAAAGACCATTTGATAACATAGCGTTTGAATCATGTTTCAACGTCGGAGATCCAATTGTTGGAGCGTATACAACACTCTATCAGACAATGAGTCACAGCCAGAACCAAAACCAAATGCAGATGCAGAACCAGGCACCGAAACAAAGTCATCCAACTGCTTACATGTGGTATTCAACAATTACTGGAGAAGTTGGAGTTTTCATGTCTCATATTTTTAATCCAAATAATCCTTATTTGAATATCTTGTTGGGTGTGGAATTGAAAGTTTCTGAAATGTTGACAAAACTAACAGGAATCAATCCACTTGAAAAGAGAAACAAACAATACCCATCATCAGCAGTTATTGATCTAGATATTGTAGAAATGTTCGCCGATATGCCTCTGCAATTCCAGGAAGATTTCGCAAGAAATTTGACTGAGAAATATAAGATGAAGTTCGATAGATCAAGTATTATCGATTTGATCACAAGATACTTGGTGTACTGCCTTCATTACCCCAATGATGGTCAACATAATGGATTGAGATGAGTTTATTTAATTTTTTATGATTATTTTGTTTAATTTATTTTTTGTTTTATAGATTTATTGTATTTTATTATTGAAATTTGATAAATTTTTTTGTCTTTATTAATTTAATATGTTTCTTTATTGTTTCAAAAAGTAAAATAATGTTTCATTGAAAATTGATCTTTTTCTATGTCGAGAATCTAAAATTACTAACTTTCGAAGAGGGTGCATAGCTCAGTGGTAGAGCGCAACATTTGCATTGTTGAGGCCGAGGATTCGATCTCCCCTGCATCCAATTTTTTTCTTTTTCTAAAAATTTCAAAGGGAAAAAAATTAATACTCATATCTTAAGACATAAACTTAAATAATGATAAATTTATAATATTAATATACGATTTTTATAAAAACAAATATAAAATTAATAAAAAATATCAAAATTAATATTGATATTGATTCTGACCTGAGTAAAATTGGTATTGGTTACTCATCTGTTGATCGTTTTCATCTAAAGAAGGAGAAGAATTCTTAAATATCTTATCTACATCAAAATTCTTCATTTGGTACTGATTAGAGATAAATTCTATCATTAATTCGTATGAATCATTGAACATCTTCATTTGTGGATTGTTTTTGCTCTGATTATACAAACTAGTCAAAGAATTAAAGAAAAATCCAATTGTTTCCTTATTTATTGTGTTGCTATAGATCAAATAAGGCAAAGTAAGGCATAAACTTGGAGCATTGTCATATGTTATGTATTGGTATCTATTAATATTAAAAGAATTCATCAAATTATAGAAATTATGGTATCCTATATCGAAAGCAACAGTGTTTCTCGGTGTCATGTCCAAGTCATTTGAGTTTAGAACTGAAATTTCACTTCTCGAGAATTTAATTACATCAAAATTATTTGGAATCAAATTTTGACTCATAACATTGGGAGAAAACGTCAAATTAAACTGTATTCCAGTATAGAAATTCTTATTCGGTTGTTTTGATATGTAAACAACCATTGCAAAGTTCGAACTTCCGCTGAGACAAATTTGGGTGTCACTTTTTTCATTTTTCAGTAACATTGGCAATTTTTCTCCATACAAATCAATTTTATGGTCCAATTTATTGAAATTGGAGTCATAGACAGATACCATGAATGTATCATTAGGAGAAGCATACTTTACATAGCTTGTTGGTCTGAAATTCTGATCGATGTAAAAGTTAAGATCAGAGATTTTTATGTAACAAACTGTTTCGAAAATTGTGTAAATGAACTGGAACGGGAAAACTAAATCATTTATGGAAATACTTCCTTGGAGAAGATGCTGTCCTGGCTCATTGTTATTGAAATTGATGTAAAACGTAATAAAATTGTCTTTGTAAAGCCATTTGACACTGTTCATTAATTCATCTGTCACTTTTACAAAGGGAACTTCCCCAGTCAAATCAATGTAATGAATTGAAATTTCAAATGGAGTTACTTGTATATCCATTACATGTGAAACATTTATGCATATCTGTGAGAAATTGGAGACTGTTGCATTTCCTATCTTTTCACAGAACAAATGATCCAAACCATTATAATACAAGTTTTGATTTAATTGACTACTTTGATTTGTTTCAATAACTGATGGAAATGATTGAGAATTACTTGAGTTAGAGTTAAGAACTGATGGAAAAGAGTTGATTTGATCAGGATAAGAGTTCATGAAAGTGTTTTGTTGATTTGTTTCTTGGACAGATTGAGGTTGATCGAAATATTGATTACTGTTACCAATGATTGAAGGAAATGATTGTAATTGGTCATCATAATTAGTCATTTCTTCTGGATAGTTGTAGCTGTAATCATTATCTTTGTTTTCTTCTTGGTAATTATCATTATTTTCCATCATTTCAACAATTTCATTTTGACTAGAATCACTTTGATTCATTTCATTTTCATTTGCATCAACTGATTTCATTTCTTGTGAATCAACTGATTTCATTTCTTGTGAATCAACTGATTTCATTTCTTGTGAATCAACTGAATTAGTATCAATTGATTTTGTTTCTTGTGAATCAACTGAATTAGTATCAATTGATTTTGTTTCTTGTGAATCAACTGAATTAGTATCAATTGATTTTGTTTCTTGTGAATCAATTGATTTCATTTCTTGTGAATCAACTGAATTAGTATCAATTGATTTTGTTTCTTGTGAGTCGCTTTGTTGAGAGTCAACTGATTTTGTATCATCTAGTTTGATTGGATTGAAATCAACTAGTTTTTGTTCAATTTTTTCAGGTTTAAATTCATTTTTAACAATTTGTTTTGGTTCTTCTTGTTTTTGTTTGTTCTTATTTTGTTTCTTTGATTTCTTAGATGACTTAAGAGTTATTCCACCATAAACAATCTCTTTTTCTGGTTGTTTTGGTTCATTTTCTTCGATTTTTTCTTCAATTTTTGGTTCGATTTCTTCATGTTTTACAATTTTTGTCTGTTGAACATTTCCTTTTAGATCCAAATCACCCCAACCAATGTTTTTCTTCGAAACAGCTTCAATGAATGGTTTAACATCAGGTTTCGATTGTTTACTATACACTTCAATAACTTCCTCTTCTTTCTTCTTCTTCGGTTTAAGAGAGAGTTTTGCCCAACCATTTTGAACTGGTTTTATTTCTTGTTTGACTTCTTCAACAACAGGATTATTTTGTTTCTTTTGTTTCTTCTCTTTCTTTTTAATTGACAATCCTCTGTAAACACCACTTTCATCTTCATTATTATCATTATCATTTGTTTGTTTCTTTTCTTGTAAATCTATAACTTTAAATTCATCGCCACCTATAATATAAGCAGTTTGATCTTTGAGTTCTAAAAATGACATTTTTTGTTTCTTTACATCGAAAACAGAAATTGTTGGTTTCTTTTCTTTTGGAATTGGAGTTTTTGGTTTTTCTTCTTTGATTTTGTTTGTTTTGGATGATTTTGATGGTTTTTTATTGGTCTGTTTTGCTGCTTCTGGATGTTCATTGTTTATATACTCTTGGAATAAGTCACTGGCATCACATTGAAGAACTAAATCTGTAATATGTGATAAAGTGAAGTGACCAATTAATTTTTCTTGATTTTCATTGTCAGCAGACATCATTACATCAACGATATTTGCTTGGAAATGCTTTAAATTGTCAACAGATGTGTAGTTCTCAGCGAGTTTCTTCAAGATGTCCATTTTCATGTCAGAATCAATTCCAGAAATCGTATCAAAACTTTTAGAAATTGAGCGAAAATCATAGTCATAATTTGCCATGTTTTTGAAATCAATTCTCCAATCTCCAAAAGTAAAATTCACTCCAGAAGAATTAGGAACTCTTACTGGCATCATATTGCTAGTAAATAACAAACATTCGTTGATGATTTCGAAGCTTTCTTTCGATAAATATCTGATGTTAGAATTAAATCTTTTCTTCACGTTTTTGATGTCTTTGTATAATGGATATTCTTTCATCTCTTCGCTGAAAATATCTGCGGCGATCTTCTCTATTTCAGGAACAACAGAAAAGTCAAAGAAAAGAAGTTTGTCAATAAACGGTTTTTCATTCAATTTTTGATATAAAAATGTCAAAAATGAAATTGCTTCATAACTTTTTTCTTTTTGGAACATGTCCAAGAAGAAACAACACGCGGAGTATTTGCAAACGCTTTTATACCACTTGAAATCTTCGATTTCGTTCGAAATTTTGATTGGTTCTGCGAAATTTAACTGATTTCTCCTGAAATCTCTGTTGATATAGAAATTAACAAGAGCTTTCATGAATGTTTCCCTTTCTTGTGTATAAATACCAATGATGTTGATGAATTCCAGCTTCAAAAGCGTCATTAATCCTTGAATTTCTTCATTTGATGTAACTTGTGAGTTAAAGAAGTTCGTAATGGCATCAGAAAGGTCGTTTGACTGTACTTTAGACGCACTGATGATGATTCTTTGTAAAATATGTAAAACGAAATAGTATTGTCGTGGAGAAATTTGATCTTTCGATTTTACTGATTTTATCTCGTCAATGACCATTGATACCATGTTAAGAAGTGATCTGTTGCTCGCGAATGGTGATTTTTTTGTGTTGGAAAGTAGTTTCCAGCCAATAAAATCTTGTAATGAAATATTATACGAAGGTTTCAACGTAAGATCGACTTTTGGTAGGCCAGCTTTGACAATAAGGTTCTCTATATCTGGTTTATATTCTTTATTTTTGTAGATAAAGCTTGTAAAGACCTTTTTCATGTAGTCAAATTTGAATCCGCTGTATTCTTCATCGTTAAAGGTTTCGTTGTTGAATATGATACCAAATTTCCCGTCTTTGGCGATTGAATTTATCCACTGGCAGAAAACATACATGTTTGAGTCTTTTTTGTAAATTTTTTCGTAACAATTGTAGATTTTACTGTCGATAATTCGCTTTAAGTATGAATCTACTGTTGTATTTTCTTTGTAGATGTTGAACATCTCAATTCCAAGATTCGGAAAACCGAATTTTGCATTATGAAAAAATAAAAACGTTTCATAATTATATCTGACATATTCGTTGGGAACTGGTCGTACGTGTAGGTTATAAACTATCATTTCATCAAGAGAATATTCATTTAATTCTTTGATTCTTTGGTTATAATCGACTTTGGCGTCGAATTTTTTGTATAACTCTTGAAATTCAGTAGGGGATGGTCCTTTTGGTGGCTTGGCTTCTGGTTTTTCACTGCTCATTATAAAGGATAATGGATGAAATGAATTAAGAAAAATGATGTTCGGCCAAAGAAAAACTATCGTTTTTATGGCGCTTTTATTTTGGATACAATTTAAAGCATGCGGTTGTGAATCTATGTGATTTTTTGATCTCAAAATATCAAAAATTTTCAAGTCTTGTTAAAAATTTATAAGACATGAATATAATGCCTTTGCATGCCATATTTATGACTAATGTGGATTTCCATTTTACAGGACTTGACTAGAATCATAGTCAAGAATTTGATTGCAACTTCATTTTTCTACAATAGTGCTTGATTCATATCATAAATTTCAGAACATAAATCATATGTATATGATATGTGTATAGATGTTAAAGATACAAAATTTATATTTTAAAATATCAATAAAAATGTAAAAAATTAGGGTTTAAATGTTATGTTACAAGATAAAATTACTTTAATTCATAAGGATATCAAACTCATCCTTTGAATTTGGATCTGGATATTTAATTTCTTTGAAAGAAGGATGTTGAACGAGAGTTCCCTTAGCATTTCTAATAGCACCTCTAAATGCGATAATTCCATGACGAATAAGTGTCATGAAAGCGAACATCAAAATAACCAAAAATTCGATCAAAGGAAATGCGCGTTTTACAGGACGTGGTAATGTTTTGAGGTTTACTGCATCATATTCATCCTGTTTTCTGCCATCTTTCCATGTATTTATGAAGAATCTCCTTGTAGAAACGACTGCATTTGAAAGTTTTCCTTTCAATGAGAGTTTCCCTGTCTTAACAATCTCACCAGTCAAAGAACGTGTTCCACAGTATTGAATACTTATGCTATCTCCGTTATCTGACCATGCAACAGCGTAGTTTTTGAGATTTTCAAGTGAGAAATCCTTCAAAACTTGGCTTGCAACGTATTGTTGCATGTAATTTGTGCGGTCAAGGTTATCAAGACAATTTGTTCTGACGACTCCTGCTTGAGATTTCGTAACTCTGCCTGAAATAATTTCGGAATATCCGATTTCATCGAGATACTTCTGGATTTCTGGTAAAACTGTGGAGACTTTCTCGAAGTTGTTGCCTTTGCAAATTGTGTTCATTGGGAAATGAATAACTTTCACTCCTTTTTCTTGATTTCCGTAATGTAAATACAATTTTGTAAGATTTCCTTCCTTACGACCTCTGTTTTCCGTTAAGCAGATGCCAACAATTGTGTCACCATATGATTTGCGCAAAAAATTGAAGTGCGCTTGACAATCTTTTTTACAATTACTTGTGGAACCGATAACAACTTCTGGTTGTGGTCTAAGATCTGGATATTGGGACCACTCAATCGGAATAGAACCACGAACTTGAACAAATGCGTATGTTGTATCGGATTTTACGATAATTGTTTCTGATTCAACGAAATTTGCAACAAAACCATCACTATCTGCACCTCTTGCCCAATATCTTGGTCCATTATTCTTGTTTACACGTCTTGAGATAAGGATAAAATCGAAATCTGGAGTTTGGAATTTTTCGATGTTTCCGGCGATAAAATTAGTTGTATTATTCTCAAGTCCGAATCTCATAGCATTCGATTTGGCTTCAAAGTTCCATGTAAATAAGTCTCTTGTAACTTCATGTTTCGCATTTTGTTGTTGTGTAAGAGTTAAATCTTGTTTTTTACTTGTGTAAAGATTGCATAACTTTAGTCCGTTGAGAATCAAAGAAGAGTATTTATCTTTAGACTTATCATTTGAAATTTGAAGAACTATTAAGTTAGTAGACTTACGAATTCCAAATTTCTCGTAAATTTCTTCTGATTTGAGTGATAGAGCGCAGAAAAATGCATCGTCAACAATATATATGCCAAGAAAATCTTCGAAAAATTTTTCTTTCTCTGGATTAAAGGCAGGATCCTCACCTAATCTAACCAATTTTGCTCTATCAATGGCAACAATGCCTCCATCTTTAAAATATAATCTGAAATAGTTACTGTTGTAACGAAGAGAATTTTCCATCAACAAAAAATGATAAAATATGAGGAGATCAGAGGGGAAAAGAAGTTTAAATGAGGTAGCCTAATCATTCTATTCAAAGAAAAGAAAATAATTTGGAAAATATTTTAAAATTTTGATTTTTAACTTTTAGTTTTCGTAAGTTAATCAAAAACATGGCAGTTATTTAAACAAATTAGATAAAAGAAACGTTTAGTAAAATAAAACAATCTATTCGGCCTTTTCCTTATCACTGCCCTTATCAGAGCGAGTGTCATGGATTGAATCCTTGTTGAAGAAGATTCTCTTGAGGGCGCAGAAGATCTGGTAGCCCCAAATACAGTGGCAAACATAAAGACCACCGAAAGCGCATCTTGCGATGAAGTAGAGCTTGGCGTGGTGTGGCTGCTCGAGCTGCTGTGTGCAAATTGTGATGAGAATTGTAAGGCATCCGAATAATCTTAAGTAAATGAAGGATGCGGCGAAGCAAACCATCAAAATATCTGAAATAAGCTTAAGACCAATATAGTTCATGACCTTTCCGGAGTAAAGGAAGATATCAACCCAATCATGGAGAAGCATGATGGATAAGCCGCCAACTGGACGAGCAACTAATGCACAGCCTGTGATCATTGTGATTGTGACAAAGTGGTGAGCAATAAGCATCTTAATATCCTTTGTTGTGCTGATCCAAAAGACATCACTGAGATAGTATGAAGCAAAGAAGAAGAAATAGATCTTTTCGAGGTGAGAGCAAACAACTTTTGGACCTGTGCAGGCAATATACTTACCACAGTCAAGGAAATAGAATGGGCAGTGGAAATATGGTCTTTGTGAGAAAGCTAAGGTACCAAGGATGGTAGAGCAGACATAATGGACTAAATCGAAGCCGCGGTGGATAAATTTGTAACGAAGCTTTTCATTAATTAACAATGATAAGGGCTTGAGGAAGAATTGGCTCAAGAATAATCTGTAAATAGCATAGGCAGCAATTGTAAATGGAGCATAGATTAAATCATCTGCACCGATTGTAGTTTCACTGCGGCAGTAATCCGCAATATGCATGAATATTAATGAGATGGTAGGTTCTCAAAAAATTTCAATGTTTGAATGAATGACCTCATTCAGAATTGATTACGTAAGTTCGCATCATCATAACAAGATCACATAACCTTTTCATGTTTGATGTTTGATGTTAATTACTTCATTTAGAATGGTTTTCCTAATTTTTGCTCTCAAAAGCTTCCGCACAAATTTTTCTGAACCCACTATCAAAGGATTCAGAAAATATTTTCATTACTGAAAGTTATTATCAAAACTACAATATTAGCTAGTCATGATGGTAGGAACTTGACAGTTCATTTTCAAAATTTTGATTGAAAAAAATCATTTCAATAACTTCGTTATTTTTGGATTATCACGAAACCCCACCGGGAAGATACAAATTATAAGCATTTCTTTATTATCATTAAATAGTCTGGCCTATTTATGGACAAATAATTCAAAAATTGGCTGATTTTGGCGAACAACTTTCGAAAAAATTCAATATTTCTTTAAAAGTTGCATTAAAGTTAAAATTAATGTGAAATATCATTTCTATTACATTAATATATACTTAAAACTTTAATTTTATGAGTCTATTATTGAAAGGTTGGTCTTGGAGAAAAAATCGACCAGACCAAACTTCTAAATCGTCGATTTAATTACTGCGTAGCAAATTTTTACAAATACAAATAATCTTATCCAGAAAAAGTACGGTTTAATATCTATTGTCCGAAAATTTACAGAACTCCTAACTTTTAAGATGGGGTTTTGGAACATCTGAATATGGATTCTTTATCCATCTATTCATTCAAGCAATATTTATCTGATAGTTCAGTAAAATACCTGATTGACCAAAAATTCAACGAATTCAACAAAACTATCATCGCCATCATTAATACGAGTTAGAGACATGATAAAATGAACCTTAGTTACTATTACAAAAATTTGAATAATAATGCCACTAATAAATACAGCTTTTGGACGTTGTCGAAATGATAAAATGTTATGGCATCTTATGTTTTAATTTTACATAATCACCATATTGTTATAAGTATTATTCAAAGCCTATTTTTCACTTAATAAGATCAATATTTTGCTTTTTCGATATTTATCCTTTACAAAATTAATACACAATGGAATTGAAGCCAATTTATCAACTTGAGAACGATATGACTCGATATCAATTGAGTAATTTCATTTATAAATCATTTGGAATGTCCAATTAGTTCCTTGAAATATTTAGCATATGTAGATGATATGATTGAGATATAACGAGAATTTGTTGTTTCAACGATAATTTCGGGAAAAAAATTATCTGATCGAAATTATTTAATCAATATCTCAGCATTACTAACGTTTTGAAATTATATTTTCAACTTAGAGAGATAAAATATTTTTTTTACGGACCAATGTCAGTTTTTGAATATTCAAAATCTTATCGTATTCAAGATTTTCTCAAAAAAAATTATCGTTTGATTTTAAAAATAATTCGGTGTTATTTTAAAAATGCAAGTTCAAGATTATTTGTTCTTCTCAAATTTTCTGAAAATTTATTGGAATTGTAGGCCCTTTAAGATTAAATCAACAAAAATGTAAGAAATATTTAATCATAATGATGTGTAAGTTATTTGCGCTGATATCCTTAGAAAGCCGTTGCATTTCAATCAAATATACATTATCTAATAAATGTCTTGCTTTTTTCTTTTCTTCAGAGTAATACTTGCTGCAAAGTTCAATTTTTCTGATGTTTTAACAGCAGATGGTATTGATATGTCGCAATTAAATAAATGGAAGGAATTAAAAGTATTACTTTCAAATTTTACACCTGAAACTCAAATCGGTAACCTTTTGTTAGCTTCAGTAAACTATACTAGTACAAAGGATAATGTTTCTAGTCCAGAATATTTAACAACAGAATATAATAGATTTTACCGATTTTTCATTGATAATCAATCTCGCATCCACGAATTTCCAAAAGGCAACTCAAGTTCATTTAATTTCATTACAGATATTGTTTCGAGACTCAAAATTCAATTGTGGTTATATGGTTTTAAAATATTTAAGATAAAATCTATAGCTAACGATATATCCGAAGGCAAAAATAAGACAACAGTTGAGAGAGTTGTTGAAGCAACCAATTTATCGCTTTCTCATTATTTTCATGCTGCCGAAATAGCCAAAAACGCAATGCTTTTTAGCCAGTTCAAACTTAAAGATGCTCCGCCAAAGATTTTTATGAATTCTGATAAAATTATGGAAATGATCACAGATATACCAAAATCAATAGAGGATGATAAGATAAATCTATATGAAGTGTGTTTACATTTCCATCATTTGATGAAAGGAATCATAGATCTCAAAAACGGATCAGTTCTTTTTACAATGAAATCATTATTAGCTGCATTGACACTTTACTCTAGAATTGCACCTGAAAGCAAGCACTCATTTAAGTATCTTGCTAGTTCATTTATTAGTGCCTATGATAAATCCAAAAAAGAAGCAGATCTTTCAAATCCTAAAATTCAATCGCTCATTACAAAGCTAGATCCAATAGTTGACAATCTAAGGAATCAGCTCAAGACCCATGTCATAGAAGTTAACTCTTCTGTACGTAATTTTGTTTTCAAAAACATGAATTATGCAAAACCTAACTTTAAGCTTGTGAGTTTCCTTATACCCCACAATTATTCATTTTTATATGATGATACTGGCTTAATATCATTATTAAGAGAAGAAAAAACAGATTTATTCAGGCCATTCATAAAAACTATCATGGGAAACAGCCGTACAAAAGATATGATTACTACATATTATTTAGCAAAGGCAGCATTAGTATATTTGAATAATCCTAAGCGCGCAATTCCGAATTTTACAATGTCTTGGTCAGATAACATCACTTTTGCTGCCAAACACTTCAAAGATATCAGGACAACAACAAAAATCAATGAATTGTTGTCAAGAATCAATGTAAAACCAATGGATTCAGTAACAATTAAAAATGCAATTTCTGAATTCATTGAAGGACTGAAAGAAATAGAAAGTGTATACCCAGGATTCATAGGATATGCTATAGACTTTCTAAATGACCTAAAGGATGTATTAAAAGATGATATAGCTTTAGGAGAAATTTTACAGATACATCCTATTGGAAGATCATTATCATCGTTCATAGAAGCAAATAATAAATACAATGATGGTGTTTCTATTAAAGATGCATATTGGGATTTCGACATTTTAGGTGTTTACGTCATGCGAACAATCCAAGCATGGAAAGATTTGAGTTTATGGAGTGCGCCCAATCTTCTGCATTCGATTGTTACAAAAACTGAAAAAGCAAAGAAATTTTTAGAAAATTTCGAAAAAATTTGGAGACTTTTCCTAGATAACCAATGCGAAATCAACAAAGATGATATAGATTCTATTTATACCGGATTTTCTGATTTTATTAATAAGATGAAACCTGGATTTGAATATTTCATGATGACGCCAACAGAGTTGTTCTATTCACTGACAAACATTAATATTTCAAGATTCACAGAATCATTTTATGATTCTTTGTTAGAACTACAGTCAGGAAAATTGAAATGGGAGACATATGTTAAATTTAACAAGATGTATTATGAAGATTTATATGAACCTCTATACATGAAATATGGAGGAGGAAAAATCACGAGATTAGTCAAAAATATTCTAATTGGACTTGCTGTTTCCGTGATTTTTGTTTGTCTAGTTGTAATAATTATTTTATATGTTCTCCGGAGCAAACTTCATAAAAATGAAAGTGATTACATCATTCAGCAGGAAAGTGTTAACTCCGAAGTCGATGAAAATGTTATGAAATTTAATATCTAAAGAAATATTTATGTATTGATTTTTATTCTTTTTTAATTCGATAAAATAAGATATATTATGATATTCCTGGTGTTGGAAAATAAATATAGGTTCAATTTTATCAGATATCTTTTGGAAAATATATGTATTTATATGCAAAAATGTCTATACATATATAATGAATGATAATGGTTTGCTTTTCATATGTTCTAATAAAATCGTTATTTAAATTTCTGCATGAAAACTAAGATTGTGAATGTCGTAATAAGCATTTTTTGTTGTCTTTACTAGCAGTAAGTCAGATGATTTCATATTCAAAAATATAAACCTGATTAGTACACATTTTAACAATAATTTAAAAATAAATAATAAAATATAACATTAAACAAGTGATGAGATACTTTCATCTTTGGATTCTTTGATACGTTTCTTGTAATATGGATCCACGTCGTACTTTTCAAGAATGTATTTCAAAATTTCGACATTTTGATTTTCAATTGCAACATCTATGCAGGACTTGCGGTCGTAATTGTTAATTTCATAGCTAGCTCCATTTTCAAGAAACATGATAGCGAACTCATTCAATTTATGTTCGATAGAATAATGAAGATATGTACCACTCTGGCTGCACATAATGTTTAAATTAACTCCTGATTTAATTATATCGCGTACTAAGTCTTTGTTTTCTGCTTTAACTGCCTCGAATAACACTTTCTCTTTTTCTGTCTCTTTAGATGGGAACGAAACTGGTGCAGCATTAATGTACCATCCTGTTGTGGACTTAGGACCATGATGAGTACTAATGTTGGAAACAAACGAATTAACAAGCTGTGGAGAGTTTCCATCTTCTGTTGAGCCATATGTTGGCAAAACATCAGGAATTACATCTTGAGGTATATCTGTTGTATTGTCGACTAATGGTGAATTTGAATTTAGGTCTCTAGTAGCGTTATTATCATCATTTTCTGCAGCTACCTTTGCTTTTCCACAGGAAGAGCATAAAGTTATTAATACAACAATTGCTATTAATGATGAGATACCAATGATAATCAAAAACATTAATTGAATAAAATGAAAGAACGTTGGGATTTATTTCTGACAAATAATCGTTATTTCAGTTTTTAAATGGAATTCCTAAAACAACAACCCATATTGGTTTCTTCGATTAACGACTCAGTAATCAAAGATTTTGCTCCAAAAGTGACAAAGAAATTTTCTCCGCATGACATTCTTCTCTCTGAAATGACCTCAACGGTAAATAATGTGATATGAGATATGCAACAATTGCATTACTATGTAAGATACAATTTTAATGTATAGATGATATTTTACAAAATAAAAAAATTAAACTACAATCGCTTCCTTCCTGCCAAAATTTTGGCCTAAAACTATATGTGAAGACTACACATAGCGCGTATATGTAGAAGACTGAGTTTGGGGAAAATCGGCTAATATAATATTGAGTTATTTTAACATCGCGAATTATATATAGAAATCTCTTAAATATCTGCATAATACCATCCAATACAAGAAGTGAATCAATATCATATCATAAAATGAATCTAATATCAAAGCGATGAAGTAGAATTGATATAAAATACAATTTCAGTATAAAATTGAAGCTTATTATATCAGTATTAAGTTTGGAAACTTCATCATTGAACTAAAATTTTAGCATTGTGGGTTAAAACATCTAGTTTGAAGAAAAAATAGACTAAAAGCATGATTTATACTCTATTCATCTCAATGTTTTACTAATTTAGCTTATGATTAATCATATTGTAATACATTCGTTTCAATATTGCAAACTATTTTGGTTGATATTTGTGAATGAAAATATATTTTAAAAATTATCATTAAATTCATCGTATTATATGATAGGAAATAAATATTTGATACTCGTTATGTTCTATTTCATGGTTGAAAATTCCAAAAAAAAATCGAAAAATGAAAAATAAATATCTAATATTTAATTTTTCACCTGGAAAAATCGATTTTGAATATTTTTTGGAAAACAACAATGATGTATTATTGTTCAAAGATTGAATTTAGATCTTTTCTAAGTGTAAAAAAACAATAAATTTTGATTTTGAAATCAATTTTTTTTTATTCTCCAATAATTTTAAGTTCATCTCTCATACATTGTGATAAAAATGATATATGTATTCAGAGTTTTGTTAATTTTAAGGTTTACGAGTGATGGTACCTTCAATTACATTGTTATTCAAGAAAGTATGCAGAGTATCATGTAAACTTGCCTAACTAAGCTGCAGATTCACAATCTTTCATAAATTTTATCTAAAATTTTATTTTGTACGATAACAGCTAATAAATTTTAATTTTTCTTTGATTATTTTGACTATAGGTATAATATCCAATGAAAATTCAAAATAAATATAAAATTCGTTTTTTGGTGGGATGGATGCGTTTTTCGTCCATCACTATGATTTTTATCACCCATATCCGATAAAGTTATGGACGACAAGCGCATTCCCATCAGTTCCATACCTTTTAACATATGATGGTGTCAATCTTCGCTTATTCAATTATGAAACTAACCAATGCATAAAGCAAAGAGATTATTTAACACATGATAATCTTTCATCAGCATTTACAGTTCATTCAGAGCTATATCCTTCACGCGTTATCTTCGTTATTATACGAGATCGAAGATCATTAATTGCATTCGACGAAAATCTTGTAGAAATCCCATCACTTACGTTCGATACTACACTAGTAATACTTTCTTCTGTATGGTCACAAAAAATGCAGAAGTTATTCGTTTCAGGAAATTTTGGATGGTTAAGATGCTTAAGTTTACAAGTCAAAAACTCAATCAGTGGTACACTTGCTCAGTGGGTTGCTGATTGGTCTTCCCATGAGAGGAAAAATTGGGTTAATCACCTTACTCTTGATGAAAGAGATAGATTTGTCATTGGATCTTCTGAGAGTGATATCATTGTATTCTCAGCAGATGATGGCTCGTTCGTTTTCAGATTTAATGCTTTCCATGCTTTTGAAATAAGTGCCATTCAATATTCAAACGACAGACATATGCTTTACACAGCATCAGGAGATGGACTTATCAAGTGCTGGCGTATATTTGGCAAAAAACCACAACTTGCGCAAACAATTAAACAATTACAACTCGGTCCTATCAAAATGCAACTCGATGCTACTGCTCTTATATCAATTTCTCATGAAAGAGTGTTACGACGTTATAATATAATGACAGGAAATTTAATTGCAGAAATAAATCTCGATATCTCTCATTCGAATGAAGAAAAGAATGTTGAAGCAGTATTAGATGTACAAACAGCATTTTTCAACAAGCATCAATGGGTTTTTGAAAGTGAAGGAATAAGAATTATGTCTTTTGAAACACTTTACGCCCCTGTCGAGCTTGCTGTATGCTGTGACTTAGTTTCAGACATTGCTGTATCATCAGAAGGCAATATTTTAGCCATTTGTCGAAATAATATTATGCATGAAATTCATCCTGACGGAAACAACATAGAAACATATGATATTGATGCATCTATTGTAGAAAATCTTCATAAGTCACATCCTGTTACAACAAAACTTACAAAATTCATTATTGAAAATGATATTTTGTATTTAGGTTACCAAGGAGGTGAAATAAAGACATATGACTTCAAGAATAAAAAATGCAATGAAATGCTTGAAACAAATAAGACTGTTCCTGTTACTTATATGTCAATTGTTGATCATCTCTTTGTAGAGCGTCATGTTTACTGCCCAGCCGACGGAGAAAGGAAAATTCAGAAGATGCTTTTAACAGATTCATATCCAGGAGCATTCGCTCTTTACTGCAGCAAATGCGATAATTATGTTGGCAGCTGGAAAATAACTGACAACTCCATACTTCAACTAGCCCAAATACCGAATGGCAAGCTGATGATTATGCTTGAAAAGAATACAATATCTCTCTGGGAAATGGCAACTCAAATTCAATGTAAAAGTTCTGTTCAATTTGATGAATTCGATATAGGAGCAAGTTTTGTTTTTGCAACACCAACAGTCATTTTCGTTGCAATGACAAACGGAAAAGCTTCTTCCTATGAAATCCAATTAGATGACAATCCACAATTAGTTCATAGCCATACAATAGCTGTTTTCAAGACCCCATTCATGAAGATGCTTCCAACATGGATATTAAAGACCAGTCCCGAATACAAAGAACTTGATGAAAAATATGATTTGGAAGGAATCGTTTGCTGCATGAGTACAGAGGACAAATTTACTATTGTTGATGCAACAACAGGTATTATACAGTTTACATGCAGTTTACCACGTCACAAATCAATGATGAGTTTCGGATTAGTTCCTTACAAACATTTATTCATCGCTGTATCAATAGATCAGAACATCAGACTTCTTGAGTATCCAACGTTCAAGAGAATCAGGCCAAAAGTACAAGAAACAGATGAAGAAAAAGAAGAACAAGAAAAAGTTTCTTTGGCTCCAAAACCATTCACTGATGATGATTACGAACAAATGACATCCAGATCAAACAGAAGAAAGAAAGAAGGTGAAGAAAAGGAAGGTTCGTCAGTAAGAAACTTCAGTGAAGAAGCATTTGAAAAAGCTCAAAAAACTCGTTTAGTTTTCAAAGAAAATGATACAAAAACATTTCGTTTTGAATACGATAACGGATGGCCAAGAATTGTTGTTGATGATTTGAAGGAAGAAGAAGAACTGGAAGAGGAAGAAGAACAAAAAGAACATTCTCCTTTCTCAGCATATGATACTCCGAAAGAACTTTCTGATAATGAAGTTGAATTTTCTTTGAAAGATCAAATTTTTGTTTCTGATATAATGAACATGAATGAAGACATGCAGAAAGAAATCGATGATGTCACAAGACATAACCATGAAGTTTATAAAAGAATCATGAAAGAAAATCCAAAAGCAAGAGAAATTTTGGAGAAAAAACCTTTGAAGAAAATCACTGAAAAGTATTCCTATGATTTATATGATGATGACGATGATGATCTGTATGATATCTTCTTATCATTAGATGTTACTCATCTTTCTACATCATCAAAGATCAGAGTGAACTCAAAAGTTCATTCTCCAAGAGAAAAAATCGATGTTTTGAAGTTGCCGAAACAAAAGGCGATTAAACCAATTGGCCAGAAGAAACCACACAAGAAAGCGATGAAGAAATACATGATTCTTGAATTCCAAGATGGAACAAAGATAAAAGCTGATGAAAAGATGATCAATTTGTTGAAAGCAATGACACAAGACAGCAATAAAAAAACAACAGGATCAAATGAAGAATACAACACTCCTGGTTTAATTTTCCACAGAGCTTTAGTTGATTTGGATAAGAACGCAAAGGAAAAGAAGAGAAGGCAAATCATCATTGAAGAACAGAGATTAATTGCTTTGCCAATTCAAACAGCTACAACAGGAGGAGTTTCAATTGGTGCTTCAAACAAAAGATATTTTCCAAAAGGAACAATCTCAAAGTTTGTTGTTAATACAACAGGTGGATCTTCTATTGTCAACATCAATCAGAAAGGAAACATCTTGAAATCTCCTTTCTTCCATTGGGAAGGAGTCAATTTCTCGCAGACAGGAAGAAAGAGACATAGAAGGAAGAAATATAAAATCATGAATTTCAATGTTGTCGGTGAACATGTTATCGAATACGAAGAAGAGGAAGATTACGTGTACGAAGAAGAAGAGGAAGAATTTGAAAGCGAAAGTATTTCAACAGCATCTAAAAGTTCTCATGAAAAAGCAAGTGTAAAAAGTTCTTCTTCAACAGTTACACCAGAAAAATCTCAGCCACAAGAAGAAGATACATTTGGTGAAGAAGATACTTTTGAAGAGAACTTGTCACCAATTCCTTCAAAGATTAATTTGTTCGATAACTCTGATGACAGAGCCAGAAGATTAAGAGAAAAATCTCCAAGTGTAAAAGCAATTTCCGATTTGTTCGGAACATCAGATAATCCTCTTTTGGATCTCCTCAATAAGACTGAACAACTAACAACAGACCAGATCTTGAGCGATATGCACAATAACTATCCTGGAGGTCCTGTTGAATGGAGACCTTTGGAAGCAATTCCAAAAGTGACATCAAAGAATGTTTTCAACATTGGAGGTTTGCATATTCCTTCAACTCTTCCTGAATCTGAAAGACCATTATCTCCAAGACTAGTTGATCCTTTGATGATGCTAAACAGACAAATGAAATTGGATGATAATGATTTGAGTTCGATTTCTGAAACTTCTGATGATTTAATGGCATATTCTGACATTTCTTCTGAGAGTCTTTTGTACGATGAAGAAAATTCATCATCTAAAGAATCAATGAAGGTAAAGAAGAATACAAAGGAGTTATCACAATCACAGTATTTCATTCAAGCAAGTCTCAGAAGAAATGATTTTGCTGCTTTGCGAAAATTGCTGGATGAAGATGGTTTGATTGATGAAAATGATACATTTATTAATTTGCCAAGATGGCAGCCAACTGTTGAATTCAAGCCAAGACACCAACCTGTTGAGAAAATACCAGGAACAAACAGATCAAACAAAGATAAGAAGAAATCTCAAATCCAAAAACAAAAAGAAAAAGAAGATACTTCTGGAATCAAAATCGAACAAGTTAATGCACAAGAAATCTCTGATGAAGATGATATCGACATTGATAATGATAATGCAGTTCTTCAGAAATCAGAATCAGATGAAACAATACAGAAACAAAAGAATGATTCAGAAGAAATCGAAGAAGAAATAAACGAAGTTCCAAACGACGAAGAAACAGAAGAAAAACCGAAATACAAAATTTCGGAAGGCCTCAAGAAAGAATTCAAGAGAGAAACAATCCAAGTTGCTAAGACTAAAGCAACAACGAATTATTCAAACATCAAGTACGAACACGAGAAAAGAACTCCTCCACCTCTACCAGAAGAAAAACCACAAAGAAAAGCTCCAGAACCAACAGAAGAAGAGCCAAGGATCGACAAATCAAAGCTGAAAATCGCCGAAGGAATGCAGATAAAGAAGAAAGTCAAGAAGATCAAAGTTGTCGAAAAGAAAGAAGGAAAAGTTAAGAAAGTCAAAGTTGCAAAAGAAATGAAAGTTAAACCGAAAAACTCAAAAATCAAAAAGGACAAAGTTAAGAAAGGAAAACTTGTTAAACCAAAGATTGCAAAGTACAAGTTCAAGAAGTTCAAACCAATTAAAATGCCGAAGATAAAGAGATTCAACTCTTTTTGCGCCAAGAAACATCCAGTTAAAAACGAATATTTCGAAGAAAAAGAATTCCATAAAATAGTTCATGATAAGAAGGCAAATAAAACAGCCATGTATTTGAGTGACGAAGAAAGGAGATGGGAAGAGGAAGAAGAAGAAATGGAGTTAAATCAAGGTGAAGAAGAGGAAATCCAAGAAGAGGAAGAAGAAAATTACGAAGAAGAAGAGAAACAGGAAGAAGAAGATTTGGAAGGTTACGTTTATGTTTACGAAGAAGAATCTGAAGACGAGTTTGATTTATTGGCACAGAAAGCTAAAATGAAACAGAAAGAAGAAGAAATGAGAAGAAGACAAGAGGAAGAAGAAGAAAACGAAAAGAACAAACAGAAAAAGAAGAAGAAAAACCAAAAGATGAAGAAGTCTTCTCGTAGTATTAAATCCAAGAAATCACAGACAAATAAAACTGCAAGAAGTTCTAAATCGAAACAAAGTCACAAATCACATAAATCTTCAGAGGAAACAACAGAAGAAAAGATTTTCGAGGAAGAAGAGGAAAAAATTGTTGAAGAGGAAGAAAAGAACGAAATCATCGAACAAAATGAAGAAGAAGAGAAGAAGGAGAACGAAGAAGAGGAAGAACAGTTAATAACTGTTAAGAAGCAAGCGTTTAGAAGACATTACCAGACAAAGAAGAAACCTGTTGTTGAAGAACAACCAGAACAAGTTGTAGAAGAAAAGAAAGAAGAGGAAGAGAAAAAGGAAGAAAAAATCGAAGAAGAGGAAGAGGAGGAAGAAGAATACTACGAAGAAGAAGACTATTACGAGGAAGAAGCTGTCAATGAAGAAGCAATTTCACTTGGAGAATTGTCAGCAAAGAAGAAACGTCCGAAATCTAAAGAATTATTAGAAGCTGAAGAAGCGGCATTACTTGAACAACTACAAGCACAGACAACAGGTGATGAAGTACCCCAAGATAATCTGCTTTTGGGACTCGGAACTCCTAAAAAGAAAGATGATCAACTAAATCTTTTTGACATTCAAACAGATTTACCAAGACCAACCCATTTAGGAGAAGATGTTGGATTGATAGAATTGGATGGTGACTACTTTGAATCAAGAGAGTTTTGCTATCCTCCAACAAACGTTTTCTCAAAGTCAACAAATGACCTCTTGAAGAAGAAATTGAAAGAAAAGAAAGCTGTTTCCATGTTTAAGGAAGTTGATTTGTCAGAAGCTCAACCTATATACTTGTCTCACTACTGCCCAACTTTATTTGATAATCATACTGGAAAAATTAGAAGAAATTCTATTTAATTTGTTAATAAATTGTTTTGTTATGTATATTATTCAATCAGGAATACTCTATTTTCGTTATCATTTGAACCATCTCAATTTCAAATTCTGAATTTTGGATATAGGCTATGCATCAATCAAGATTTAGTAGAAACTATCAAAAAGAGGGGAGTTCATTTGTAATATTAACAAATTATAAGATATTTGAAAATGAAATCTGGAAAAAATGCCAAATTGCTAGAATCTTATTTTCGAATCATGCAAATTACTTTATGAGTTGCATTGTTCATACTTTCTGATTGTATGTTTATTCATTTTTTATAATTTTCGAATGGCAAATACACCATGCAAGATATTCATAAACAATTTACCGACAGATATGGATACCAATGCAGTATTTAAATACTTTTCAAGATATGGTGAGATTCTAAAAGCTTTTGTGAAGTGTGGACCTAATGGAGTTTCTAGAGGTCAAGCTTTCATTACATTTAAAAAGAAATCTTGTGCACAGGATGCAATAGAAGATTTAAATGGTGCAAATTTCGAAGGAAAAATCCTCAAAGTTGCCGAAGCATTCACTCAAACCGATTATGTTAAGGATCCAAGAGTTAAAGGTAAACTTCCACCGTTTGAACTTGCTCCTGATATTATGATAACTCCAGAAATTAGTCAATACAAGAATATGTTAGAACAACTTAAGCAAACTATTATTCTCGCATCCCAAATGTAGTTACACAATAGATAATTAATTATATCCTACTTACATTAGATATTTTACATATTTCAAGATTTCATATACCAATACCAAAAAATCTAACTACAAATCATAATCTAATAGTTATACACAACATGTTCTTACTTCCTTATGATGTTTTATAAATAATTTCATATATGAATTTTATTTGCTTTTTTATTCTGAATATAATGAGTGGATATTTACCGTTACTTACATATCTCAAAAGGGATATGATTTTCAATAAGTTATTTAATATAAAATTAATATTAAATGAATTTTTTGGTATTTCAATGCTGCAAATATTCTTAATTTCATGTAGTAAATTTTATTCCTAGTTAACAAGATAACTGTTAGAGATCATAACGAAAAATTGAAGTTCGAAGTCTATTTGCTGGCAAATAAAATTAGTATTAAATCATATATGCAAAATATAACTTGTTGTCCAGTGGACATTTATTGGCTAAACCTTTTGAAGCAACAGTCCAAATTCTGGGAAATTTAAAAAAAAAAAAAAAAAAAAAAAAAGGTAGTGGGGCTTCCAGGCACTTCGTGCCTTCTAGCCCTGAGGATGTTTGATATAATGAAGTTTTTTTTTTTCTTGGGGGAGAGCTTCCGGGCGCGTTGCGCCCTCTAGCCCCCGTAGATGTTTAGCATAAATGAAGTTTTTATTGTAGGGCTTCCAGGCGCGTTGCGCCTTCTAGCCCTTAAGAAATTTTGCCCAAGACCCAAGAGGAAGACCGAACCCCAGCCGACCAGCCGTTGACAAAACCAAAACACCAAAAATAATGTTTAGGGTAGAAGGTTAGATCTAACCTCTTTTCTAACCTCTCGAATTTTCATGAAATTTACACCAAAAATATATTTTAGGGTAGAAGGTTAGATCTAACCTCTTTTCTAACCTCTTTTCTAACCTCTTGAATTTTCATGAAATTTACACCAAAAATATATTTTAGGGTAGAAGGTTAGATCTAACCTCTTTTCTAACCTCTTTTCTAACCTCTTGAATTTTCATGAAATTTACACCAAAAATATATTTTAGGTGAAGAGGTGAGATCTAACCTGTTTTCTCACCTCTTTTCTCACCCTCATGAATTTTCGTGATTTCTTCGTAAAATGTTTTGTCATGATTTCATCGTAAAATATTTTGTCAAGACTTCTTCGTAAAATATTTTGTCATGATTTCATCGTAAAATGTTTTGTCAAGACTTCTTCGTAAAATGTTTTGTCAAGATTTCATCGTAAAATGTTTTGTCAAGACTTCTTCGTAAAATGTTTTGTCAAGATTTCTTCGTAAAATATTTTGTCATGATTTCTTCGTAAAATGTTTTGTCATGATTTCATCGTAAAATGTTTTGTCAAGACTTCTTCGTAAAATATTTTGTCAAGACTTCTTCGTAAAATGTTTTGTCAAGACTTCTTCGTAAAATGTTTTGTCAAGATTTCTTCGTAAAATGTTTTGTCAAGATTTCTTCGTAAAATGTTTTGTCATGATTTCATCGTAAAATGTTTTGTCAAGATTTCATCGTAAAATGTTTTGTCAAGACTTCTTCGTAAAATATTTTGTCAAGACTTCTTCGTAAAATGTTTTGTCAAGACTTCTTCGTAAAATGTTTTGTCAAGATTTCTTCGTAAAATGTTTTGTCAAGATTTCTTCGTAAAATGTTTTGTCATGATTTCATCGTAAAATGTTTTGTCAAGATTTCTTCGTAAATGTTTTGTCATGATTTCATCGTAAAATGTTTTGTCAAGATTTCTTCGTAAAATGTTTTGTCAAGACTTCTTCGTAAAATATTTTGTCAAAACTTCTTCGTAATGAGTGTAAATGACCCAAAAATATATTTTAGGTGAAGAGGTGAGATCTCACCTGTTTTTTCACCTGTTTTCTCACCCTCATGAAACTCTTGAATTTTCATGAAATTTACACCAAAAATAATGTTTAGGGTAGAAGGTTAGATCTAACCTCTTTTCTAACCTCATTTCTACCCCATATGTCCTTACTGAAAAAGTATGTGTTCCATCTGTCAAAAGCCGCTTTTTAACTTCACTTAAAATGCCACGTAAGCTACGTAAGAATATACGTAAGAGGAAGGGAGCATTGAAACATCCAAAAGTAAAACTGACACCACAACAACAGTTGCAACAACAAATGCTGAATGACCCCACTATGTTGCAACAAATGTCAAGCAACCCTATGCTTTTAAACCGAGTTATTGGTGCACAGAGTGGAGGTTTAAGAGCGGCACTTTTAGCGAAAATGGCAGGCTATGGTGGAGCTGCAGACGGAACAGCCTATAACCCTCAAAGTCAAATGAATTTGAGTTCACTCAAAAATCAAATAACAGATGTCAAAAAGTCAAACATAGACATACAGAAACAAATAAGTGAAAACGAAAAGAAACTAGAATATGACAGACACACAAAGAAACTCAATGAGTTAAACGTAGAGAAAAAGAAGAAAGAAGAACAACTGAAAGAACTAAGTACAGAGGAATATGCGAAAAAAGTGTCAGAAAAAGCAGCAGAAGTAGCAAAAATGGAACAAGATGTTATAAATTTGAAAAACCATACTACTCAATATAAAGTACTGAAAGATGAAGAAATAAAACAAAAAGCCCTGAAGACATATATGGATAGCGATGAGTATAAAAAAGAAGTTGAAGCAAATGTAAAGGCAGAAAAACTTTTACAGTTGCAAAACCAAACCGTACAGTATGAAAACTTAGCACACGAAAGTAAAAATAACGACGCAGCCATGCAAAAGGCAATGAAAAGTGCAGAATATATAAAAGCTAATAATGACTGGTTAGATGCCCAAGCCAACGCTAAAGCAGCCCAACTTATAGGGTCAATAAGGACAAAAATACAAGCGGATGAAGACAGTTCAAATGAAGCTTTAATGAATGCTGACTTTAAGAACGCCTTCGAAGCTCTTCATAGTAAGGTGAAACTAGTGAACGACTTCTCATCTGGAAAGAAACTGAAGTCTGAAGGTTTCGACAAAGAGTTAAAAGAAGTAGCACAAAATATGACGAAAATAACAGATGCAGCAACGAGACAGGCAGTTCAAAGTGCCTATGACGCCGTTAGAGCAACTGTTGTGGAAAGTCAAGAAAAAGAGTTACAACAGACCAAAACAGACCTAGTAAATGCTTTCTTAAAAACGAAAAGTCAGGTAGGACATTATGCTGCAGATGGAACATATGTGCCAGCTGGTGGAACTTATATACCAGCTGGTGGAACTTATATACTAGCTAGTGGAACTTATATACCACCAAACCCTCCAAGAGAAGCACCTGCACCAGGACTACCTAAAACATTTACATCGTCACATGGACACAGACGCAGGCATGCAACAAAACAACAACAACCAACAGTTCAAAATCCAGCACAACAACCAACAGTTCAAAACCCTGCACAACAACAACCACAAACAGAGCAAGGACATAAAAGAAGTAGAGAACAAGGAAACCAAGAATTCTTAAAAATGCTTAAGGAAGATTATGGTTACCCAGATACTCTTGACTTTAGTGACAGATATAAAGAAGCTATTAGAAAGTTCAAGGAAGGAAATACTGACCCGAACCTATTTAGCTTTATGGCTCAGCACCAAATGGGATATAATTTCAAACCTGGAAAATACAAGCTCGCTAAGGGATATGATTTAATAGCATATCATCCAAATGACATGACTGAATTTACTCCGAGATATTTGGTGTCAGAGCTAAATGACAATTCAACTCTCTTCATGAAACGCGTAAAAAATAGAGACGGAACGAAAGAAGAAAGGTTTATGAGTCCGGATGACTTAGATAGGGAACTTTTTAAAAACGGTCTCGGAATATATGAAATGCCAGCAGATGAGGTACAAGAAACTCCACAGGAAGAAGTTCAGATACAACCAGACATGGAAGAAATAGTTCAGCAACAACAGCTAGAAGAGCCTGAAGGAAACGAACAAGTCCCTCCTTTGGAAACTAACTTCACAGAACTAGATGAAGATTTGGAACAGCCGAAAAATCTTGACCCTCAACAAGACTATGCGGAGAATATGGAATCTTTCCAAGAGTCTAAGAAAAATTCGGCTGACATGGTAGAAGAATATCGAAAAATGTTCGCCGACATACAAAAGGCTCCAACATCAGATGAAAATATTCAGCATAGAATGGAAGTACTGAAAGATAATGTACACAAATACAACAATCCTTTTTACTTACGACCATATAACGTTCAATCTTTGGATGAACTCGGTGAAAATAAAAGGTTAAATTTCAACAAAACATATAGAAATGAAACATTGTTTAAAGTTCATTCAGAACCTAGCCAATATGGAAACAAACCTACTTTTGTTTCTGCAGACTATGGAACTACAATGAGATGGGGTCATAAAGCTAATCCGGATAGGTGGTTCATAAACTTACAACCACAATTCCAAGAAGTTGTAGACGCAATGGAAGTGAATGGTGAACCAGATATAGCTGGTATTTTCAGCGCGGCTTTAATGCCATTGAAAGATATGAAAGATGCAGATATTTTGAACCAGTATGAAATGAACATGGCTGATGGAAATATAACACCTGACGTTCTAGAACATTTATCTCAAAGAACTACACAGAACCATAGAGATGGTATATTTGGTGAAGAGTTTAGAAAGAAAGTTAAGGAGAGAGAAGGAAGAGAACCTATTGTACATGACCTTGCAAACGAAAGTTTGCAAAATGTCATAAAAACTTACTTTGCAGACAATGAACCGAGAATGGATGAATATTTAAGAAAACTCAAATGGACAGTACCAAATGAAATGTTAGTATTGAAAAACATGTTCCTTGACAAAATAAAACCAACTACAGAAATAAATGACGCAAGACTGAAAGATTGGGTAAAAGCTTTCCCATTCACAAAAGATATTATTGGTAACATGGAAAGAAAACCAGAATGGCTACAAAAACATATATTTGGAAACGAGCTTATTCCATATGGACAAGCTCTGTTTGAAG